GCCAGGGAGGGCACCGACGAGAAGACGGTCATTGGTGCTCCGTACCCAAGGACCAGGTGGCCGCCCGCCGCCATCAAACTCACTCCTCGCCTCACCAAATGAATCGTTCCAAGAGAGTGGATAGGCGCAATAATTCCACGTTAGCTCGCCCGGGACTTTTCGTGCTTCCGCGAGCATCCCCAACCATGCCCGCCCTGTCTGGGCCCTGGATACTGGACACTGGACTCTGAGCTGCGGGCCGTGGGCTCTGGACTTTGGAATCCGAAGGCTGGGCCTTGTCCTTTCTCCGACGAGTCCAACAAGAGTGTGCCTTTCTACGTCCAGCAAAGCACGCACCGTCTCCTCGCAACTGGCTGCAAAGTATCCGTTCATTGACCCAGCCAGACAGAAACTCTATTCCGTAAAGTACTTGGGACTTACTTGGGGTGATGAATGGCGCACGTCTGATGGGCGGGGGGTTGGAGCGACGACTCACGGTCTCATGGTCTTACCGCCTTCTTACACGCGCTCTTGAGTCTTGTTCTACCGCGAGCTCCCCGAACACCCACCCGTTTCTCTCTTTCCAAACATTGAAAAAAAAAAAAAAAAAAAAAAAAAAAGTGTGCCGGACCTTCGCGGGTCCGACATGAATCACGCAGCCACGCTTGGTTTTTGTTGGCGAACTAGTGGCATCTGCTGCGACTTGCAACATCCAAGGCGGGACGTGAAGTCACAGTGCAGGCCGGAAACAGACCAGAGCATTCAGACAGACAGACAGACAGACAGACAGACAGACAGACAGACAGACACTTGAAGCCAACAGAAGAAGAAACCCTGCCAGGCCGCAAGATTACCTTCACACCCATCACGAGGCTCAATTTTGATCAACTTCCGAAATGTTACATTCCAATACCACGGAGCAGACATGGATGCCACCAGACGAGCAAAAAACAGGCAGGGCTCAGGGCAAACGACTTTCGGGTCTGAAGTCGGCCGACTCCTGGAATTTCAAGATGAACGGGCAGTCCTCATCTCATCAGGACCTTGTCTCTCGCAGCGGTACTCTTCAGGGACCAGAATGAATGTAACGTCGGTTCACCAGCAGGGACAATCCATCGTGCCGCTGGGCGAAATCCGTGGATCAAGCTTTCATTTGCGCTCGCAGCTACCGAAGCCGACGCAACCTAATAAAGAGACCTGCGGATGGGCAGGCCAGGCCGGCGGCAGCAGCAGCCTCCAGCGGGCAAGGAAGAGGGGGACAACGAGGAGAGAGGGAGAGAGCCTGCTGCTATGCCCCCATTTATGATGCATCTCCAGCATGCCGCGATTGTCACGGGGATAAAGCTTCGTCATTCGGAAGCCCACGGTGCGGGAGGGTGTGATGCAGGCAAACCGGCGCCGACTCGCAGCCGGCCTCATGCTGGAGTTGACCGTGAAGCGGCCGATTTGGGGAAGGGAAAACTCTATCAGCAAGTGATTATCGAGCCGCCTTATGACCATTATGGATGCGACCTGCAGTTCTTCTGCCTAGTAAAGCATCAGCACAATTGCAGGCGATAGAGTTGGACCGGCATGTCCCGAACCAAGAGCGGCGGAACCCCGATACGGGCGATGATGCCAATCGCGGGCGCTCGCGCGCGCGGGCTTAAATAATTTTAACATTGGATCGCGCGTGAAGTCGGGAGATGAACCCCCCCCCCCGCCGAAAGGGCCGAGTCCTTCGATAGATGATGAGACAAGTGAGACATCTGCAACGATAATATCAAGGCCGTTATAACGATCAACTGCAACCGCGGCGAGCGCGACCATCGTGGAGTCCCAGGGAGAGTCGGCCCAGAGCGGTCGTCGCCATGTGGGCAGACAGAACAACATTGGCTGCAGCTCTCGGGCAGCCGTCCGACGGAGGGGAGAGTTTTTCTTGAACGGCGGTCTGTTTTTGATGTTACCGAAGGCCCCCTTCGGTGAGCAGAATTATCATGACTCTTCGGATTCGCTATGAGGTAGAGTCACGGCAGATGTAGCCGTCGGCGCCCTCTCTGCCTTTCTTCACTCTCACGTTCAGTCTCGTCCAAGCGCAAGGAACTGACTTGTACGGATACGGGTCACGTCAGTCAGCCCCCAAGACATGGCATTCAAGCCTGTTCCCTGCGCGTGTTCGCTGCCGGCCCGTCCCTAGCAATTCGTTTTTTCACACAAACTAGTCAGAACTCATCACACACACACACACACACACACACACACACACACACACACACAGACGCGCCGTCACTTTTGTCGAAGTTCGCTAGTGGCCCCGACCGTGATGATAGGTTCACGAGAAAGAAGGGCGGAAGAGGAAGAAGAAGAAAAACTGGAGAGAGACGTGCGCCGACGATCACTACACATCGGGAGCTCACGGTGGCGCTCAGAGTGGTTGTGCCAATTTCGCAAAAAGAGACTGTGAAATGAGATTTGAGGACACTAACTAGACTTGTATATGGTAAACCTGCCCAAGCACCAAGCAGCAGCAACGACAATGTTACCCTGACGGGAAGAGAAACGACGACTTGAGCACTCACTCACTTCCCCCCAAACGAGACGAGGCGGCGGGCGGGAAGAGAGAGGCGCCATCCGCCAGAACGGAGATGTGATGTGAGAATGGCATGCATTTGCAGCTGCAACTAACAAACGGCTTGCTCACACGGGCCGCGGTTCATGCGCGCCTGGCGACCACTGGACCACCACCACCACCACCACCACCACCTTCACCCCTCCACTCCATCCTCTCCCCGTCCGCCGCCGTGTTGCTTCCCGTTCACCAGACCATTGTTGTACACATACACGCCCCCTGGAAGTTGTTTAGAACAGACCTCGGAAACGGGAGTCCTTGATAGGAACGGTAAGAGCCTGATGATCAACGGGCGTTGCCAGCGGGTGACCCGTGCAGCCCTGCCATGCAGCTCGCCGCTTGGAGCGAGAAAAGAGAAGCCCTGAGTCGCCGCCGTCTCTGACGAGCATATCCTATCCGGTGGGTATACGCGCTCAACGGCTTTGCGTGAGCATGACCGGTGAAGCTTGCGACTTGACGGGTTCGAAGGGCAGAAAGAAATGCTCTCCCCCGTTGGCGTTCACGCCATACGCATAGAATACAATACTGCCTATCCGTACCCATCTGTAGTGCGATTCTGGCATGGCGGCCATGCTGATCCGCATCGGCACCTGAGCTACTACTAATAGTACGCGACTCATGGGGGACGACAGCATGCCATTGTGAACCGTGAACGAGCCTCGCTGCAACCCCCCTCGCTCGGGAAATTTGCAGACCTTCCTCTCCACGGCTTGTGGGCGATCATGTGTGTCTGATCACCCCCTTCCCTTCCCTGGTGATGGGAACCAGTTTCGATCGGGGCTGCATAAAATAACCTGGTCAGAATGGGCCATTGACCGAACGAAATGCAACAGGAATCCCGGGAAGGGAAAGATGGATATCCACCGTTTTGGGGGCCCTTTTTTCGTTCCGTCGTATCGTGTTGAGTGAGGGGAACCACAAAGTCACACTTCAGAACATAGTTGAAGGTCCAGTGCTTCTGGTGTATCTCAACGAAGCGTTCAGCTGCATTGAGAGCCCTTGCTCGCAACGGGAGCTCGTCGACTCTGGGAACCAACAACAACGGATGGATGGAAGGAAGAGGAGACAAACAAGCGTCCATCACCCGCAGCGACGGTATGGCACGTGCAACGGAGGCGTTCGGAAAAGAGCTTCTTCGGAGATGGAGGGAAGACCGTTAAGATTGAGATTCTGGTGAGCCAGTCGCAACCGGGGATTTCGTAACCTTCGTTCGGCCCCCCGGATTTTCCACAACCGGCCGTTTTCTCTCTTCGATCTCGTCTTCCTCGTCTCCAGGTGTTCGTTCACACTCGGACGGCAGGCATCGTTCCTGTCCGGCATGGTAAGGTCTCTCGGGCGGTGACTCCTCAGTCCACACACACCGCCGTCCCGGAACACGCGCACGACGTTCCCCGGGGCTCCGGGAACTGGCGCGCGGGCGCTGGCGAACAGCCAACCCCCCAACAACAACAAACATTGGCTGGCAAACTCCCGAAGCCTGCCTCTTTCGAGCTTTTCTCATGACACATGCATGTCCCTTGGCATTTGGATGTTCCAAAGACGGGGGGAAACGGCCAGCGGTTCTAGGCCTCGAAAAACTGTGTTTGCTTGTTTGCTTCGTTTCTCGATCCTTGATCAGGAGGTTTTTTTTGGGGTCGGATCTGACGATGCTTCGTTCTCCCCCTCCGGAACCCCGATTCTGGTTTTTTTTGCTTTTTATTTGGTGTGCATTCCGAACATTCCCCTTTTCTCCAATTCAAGAGACCAACTCCCGTCGCTGCGAGATCCATTCTCTTTCTCTCTCTCTTCTTTCTGTCGTTTTGCCGTTGATCTCGAAACTCGACGCAATGGCGACACAAGGTTGTCGACATTGCGTTCCCGTCCCGGAATTGAATCGGCGGCATGGAGGCTAAGCGGCCCGGCCTTCCGTCGGCATCACTCGACGATTTGGGGACAGGAGCGCGATGGCTCCGTGTCTTCGGAGCGAGTTGCTTCGTCGATTGAAAAGGCCAGATAAACAAGACATAAACAGGGTGGATATCGATCGGTTCGGCTCGGAAAACGGCCAACTCATGAACCATTCCATTCGCATCCACTTCAAATATCTCTATTGACGACGTCTGCCATCGCAAGGGAAAGAAGATAAGAAAAAAAAACCGACGTTTCTTTCCTCACATCTGCACCGATAAAGCGGAACCGCGAATGGAATTGCGTGCCGGTCGGCGGGTTCCCTTCGGATAATTATCCAGTGACAGCCAGCAGCAGCAGAGAACATCCCAGACCATTCCTGCAAGGAATAACCAACATCTCTCTCATCGCGAAATCCCTCAACCTTTGGGCCTACAGGAAACTCTGGGATTCAACTCCTCAACCCCCGAAAACGTAATCGGACGGAGACAGGCTACGTTTTGCAAACAGTTGCAATCACCAAAAAATGGCGTCGCTTCAGCAGTGGAAGGTAGACAAGCCCTACCTCAACATCCACTGCGGCCTGGGCGAGGGGCCGTACTACGACAAGAAGAACAACGTCCTGCGCTTCGTCGACATCAAGAAGAAGCAGGTCCACTTCGTCGACCTCGCCCGGGGCCCCGGGTCCCTGCGCACGCTGCAGCTCGACGTCCCCGTCGGCGTCACGGCCGACATTGCGGGCGTCGACCCCGCCGTCGGCATCCTGGTCGGCCTCAAGTACGGCATCGCCGAGCTCGACGTCCGGTCCGGCCGGTACGAGTACCTCGCCGAGCTTCACCCCGGCCGCCGCAGGGAGCGCCTCAGGGCCAACGACGGCGCCGTCGACCCCCACGGCCGCTTCTGGCTCGGCACCATGACGGATTTCGGGCTGGGCGATTTTCAGGTTGAAGGTATGTCTTGGAGTGCTGCGTTGCGGCGGTCTGCCTCGCATCACATCACCTCTCTCACGCACCCCCTCCCCCCATGTCTCTCGTTGTCGTGACAACGCATCACATCCTCCTTTGCACACCGCATATATCGTCACGAGAAGGGAACAAACAATGCAACCTACGTCTCAAGACCCAAAACTCACGATCCCGACAGGCGCCCTGCACCGCTTCGACGGCAAGTCGGGCCACGAGGAGGTCCTCAGCGACCTCCTGATCCCCAACTCGGTGGGGTGGTCTCCCGACAACAAGACCATGTACTTCACGCACTCGACGGACCGCAAGGTGTACGCGTGGGACTACGACATCGACGCCGACGCCGCCGCGGGAGGCGCGCCCTCCAACAAGCGCGTCTTCTACACGCACGACGGCCCCGGCGAGCCCGACGGGTTCCGCGTCGACGTCGAGGGCAACCTCTGGCACGCCGTCTACGGCGAGGGCCGCGTGCTCAAGATCTCGCCCGAGGGAAAGCTCGTCGGCGAGGTCCTCCTGCCCACCAAGGCCATCACGTGCGTGCAGTTCGTCGGCACGGAGCTGTTCGTCACGACGGCGTCGCTGGACGAGGGCGAGGGCACCGAGGAGCAGCGCGAGTACGGGGGCGCGCTGTTCCGCGTCGACGTCGGGGTCGAGGGGCTCGGGTTCTTTGAGTTTAAGCTCTGAGTTGTCTTTTCTGGCCGGCCCCCTTCCGTTCGTGTCGAGGGGAGGGGTGGGCAATGGCCAGCTGGGTTGCATGGGACGGCGAGGTTTTCTCACGATGGGGACTTCGGGGAGGGTTTGCTGGATCTGATGGGGTGGTTCTGAGTGGTCACGCATTGCAGAGATAGAGAGAGAGACTGAGACGGACTGAGACATGTCACGGCGGTGATGGAAAGTCTGATTCGACGACGAGAATGAAAGCAAATGACACCGCTCTTTCGTCCCTTGCCGCGCTTTGCCCAAAGATTTCGAGTCGTGTGTTTCGCGCTCCTTGAGTGGCTCTCACCCCCTTCTCTCCCCTGTTCGAGGAATACGATCGTCAACAACGCACGCACGCACGCGGTGACGAGAATCCGGGACTTGTGCATCGCCCTCGCGGCGCGTCCTGCGGCTTTCACGATAATTCATTTTTTCCGTTGAAGACAAACAGACCTCGTGGCCATGTAGTTGAGGCTTTGGCTTCGCCGCTTTCTGTTGGCGAACATGCAGCAGGAATGCAGAATGCGGCCGCGGCCCCTCCAAATCTACCCCGTATATGCTAAAAAAGAGAGGCAGACTGCAGGATGCAGGAAGGGTGAAGGGAGCGAGTTCGCCTCACTTTTACACCGTTCAGCCAGTTTGGGCACCAATGCCTCGACGCCTTTTTCAGCATGTACACGTTTTTTCTGTCAGATTTTCTGCATGTTTGGGAGAGTTTTCTTGCATTTGATTGTATTTTCTGCCTCTCCATCGCGAGAGACGAACGTGTCGAACGGGTGGATGAGTGGATGAGTGGCCAGCAGGACGTGGGAATGATGCAAAGCTAGTGATGTCCGACATCGCTAGACTGGGTAATTGAAGAAAAAAGGGATGCCCAACCACAACCACACACACACACGATGCTGCACACGCCCACCATTACAGACGGACGCCCCGTCCAGTCGCGCATCTGCAATCTGCACCGTCGACGTGGCAGGCCTCGCTCTCGTGTAAAAACGGTCGATTGTATGTGTACATGACACAAGCCCACGACCCCGTACCGCACGCTTTTTGGCTCTTTTGGTTCCCCTTCTTCTGCTCCCAAGAAAAGGCCACCCCGGTTTTTCCAGATCGGAGAATTAAAGTGGCTCCGCGCGAACGAACGAACGACCGGGGGCCTGCCGAATCGTGCAGTTAGATCGGAGCCCGAGCCGCCATGTCATCCCATCCCCCATGCTGCTGCTGGCCTGGCCTTGCACCTTGGCCTGGGATGCCGGACGCATGCGGGATTCCTGGGTCTTTGGGGGCTGTATATGGGGCCTGGCCTAAGGTACATAATCCATTACGATCCATCATTGTCCTATCCGGCCGGCCCCTCAAACCCCTGGTCTCCCGGCCACCAGCCCCGGATCCATGGTTAGTTTGCCACTTACCGCCGCCGCCGCCGTCGCCGCTGTCGCCGCTGTCGCCGCCGTGTTTGCCGCTACCTGTACGTGGCGTCCGGCCCCGTCTGCTGCCCGCCACCGCTGATTCACCTGCACTATTTCAGTGCGTACATGCGTACCGGGAACAGTTCATTGGGAAAGCCACGCTGCAGCTCCGTCTTGACTAGACGGAGACCCGCCTGTTCGAAGAGGGTTCGGAACTTGTCATCCGCCCTGTGCGGTTGTTTGCACTTGCGTCAGTCTATGCAGGTGTCTTGCATGCATTTCGAGTTTCTCCAGTGACGTGGGCCTTTGGAGGAACAAGGAATATGAGGAAACACGGTCCAGCCGGTCTTGAATCCGGCAAAACTCTTCGCCACGACGGTGGTTGGTGATGGGGTTGGTGGAGGATATGAGCTGGGCAGCTCGGGAAGGATGAAGAGGCCTGAAGGGAGTGTACGGATAGGCGAACTCACCTCGTGACGCTGCTATCGACATCGTCGAACAGGTCCGCCCCGCTGGTGCTGAGGTTCTCCTTGACGATGATCACACCGTCCGTAGGGGCGATGACCTCCTTGCAACGGCGCAGGTAGGCAACGAGCTGCTCGTCGGTCAGGTGGCCGAGGCACCATTGATTCCAAACAAGGTCGTATGAGGTACCCTCAAGGGGCTTCCACTCCTCCAGACCGATGTTGAAGACAGACCCTACGCCCAACTTCTCCTGAAGAGCGGCGGTGAACTTGGCGATGGGCTCGACGATGTCGACTTGTTCAGCGACATCCAGCATGAGTCCCTCTGTGATGCGACCGATGCTGGGGGTCGGGGTGTTAGCAGGGGCCATGACATGATACGGAGACTTGGGTCGGGAGACCGGGGTAGGGGGTGTATGTGAGAAGGTATCCGTACAGACACCGGTGAGAGGTTACCGACACGAGAGGCGAAAATGGAGAAACAAGGGACAGAACAATGGGTCAGGCGAGGCAAAACATTAGCTCGGCCCGCTCGTGCAGAGCTGCTGTTGCGGTGGGTTAGGGGAGAGGTGATGGGGATGAGATGGCAAAAAGGGAAGGGGAAAATAAGAGGCGGTGAGGTGGTTGAGATGGCGGTGAAAAAAACAACAAAAATGACGGGGGTTTTTGGTGTTGGTGATGTGAGATGGGACATGCACGACCAAACAAGCAAACAACCTTCAGCCATCCCATTCCGTACATGACACTTGAATGTAACGGGTACCAGAGACTGGTCTGAAATACGGTCTGACAACAGAAGACCTCTCAAGGAGAACACATAGAAGAGAAAAGGATGCAGCAGAAAAGAACTCACCCGGCCCCGCCTTCCAGAGCGCGGCTCACCGTCCGCAGACCGCTCTTCGTGCCGATGCCCAGCTTGGCCAGGAAGTTACGCGAGCCCTGCAGGTCGACCTTGCTGATGTAGGGGAAACCTCCCAGCATGCCGTTCACGTCAGCATCAACGCCCTGCCAGTAGGAACGGCCATCTTCGGCGCTGATCTTGGCGTCGGGCGGCGGTGTGGTGGCTGTCGTTGCTGATGTTGATGCCGCTGCGGCTGCGGCTGTGATTCCTTCGTCGCCGGGCATTTTGACTGCCTCGGAACTGGGGTGTGGCGGACGGCGTGGTTGTGAAGAAAGATCGGAGGCGGTCGGTTGCAGTGTCACATTGTTGAAGATTCAATGTGTAGCTGCATTTGCATGCACGGTTGGGGAAAGCCAGGAAGGGGGAAACCTCGGGTTTATGCTCCAATAGGGGTTTTCCGAATGGAAGTGCATCTAGATGCATGCTTGATTCAATTAGGACTCTAACCGAGCATATCTCTTTATATGAATGAAATATGGGTCTATCGATAACACCGACGATAAGATGATAAGACCCCGACCAGATAAGATTGCCATCATCACGGAAACCTCCAGATCTACCTAGTAAGGTTAACTTTGCAACTCAATCTCGTCCGCCCGCCTCGGGCCTATCGACGGCCACTGCGCGCAATAAAGTTGCAATAAATGCTTGCTGAATTATCTGCACTAACGGGAGTTTCTTTTGTCTTTAATCTTCTTTTACACCAATCCATCTGAACCACTTCCCCAAGCTTATCTCAGCTCATGCAGCTGTCAGCCTGACCCGCAAAGCTAAGCAGACCACGACATTTCAACGTCGCGATGCACTCAAGTGATGACTACATCCCATCTGCTACGCGGCTTCATCACCAGCTAGTGCTGGGTGTGTCGCCTGCACGTTCTCTTATCTCAACTCCGCATTGCTGCTTCATCTGCGCCCGAACCACAAGGTACTGATGATCGACCGCCCGAGCAGGGTCAACCGTTATGCGACCAGAACCGAGCATCTGGGACGCGCAGGTGAGCTCGAAGAGATGATTCAGTCGACAATTTCCGGATGGTTTCTCCGTCGACTTTCTTACGCCAGTCAGGTGACTTGGACTCTTTCCTATTTGGTAACTTCTTGCGATGGCGCGATAATTGTTTGAAGGTCGCTACAGACGAAAAGAAAAAGTCGCCGTCTCAAAAGATCGCCGCCCGACGGCACCTATCATCCGCAGAACATATCCCATCGGCAATGTCAAAACGACTGTCATTATCACCAGATGAAGCACATATTTCAAACCGGGACTCAACAAGGCAACTGTTCGTCTCCGCCACGGGAGAGCAGACGATCATGTTGTGGAATCTCGGCTGCGAGCCTGCGACGTTCCTCACGATGCCTCTGGAGACTCCGGCAAAACTTGTCTCTAAAGCAGGAATGCTCTTAAAACTGCCCCGAAAACCCGCGACAGGCCGCAGTCTGGCCCGTGTCTCGAATCGCAAACGGTTTCTTCCAAATCACCAGCCGATCTTCGACATCCAGTGCAAACCTGCGAATCCGGGGTTGCCAAGGGATGTAACCAACATGCAACCGCTGCAGACAGACCTGGGAGGAATTTGGAACAAAGGATCTGCAAATAACCACGATGGGCATCTCTTTCCAGTCCTTCAAGGCATCCCCCCGGGACCCTCGGCCATGGCCGCTGCAGCTCGACGTTGACATCATGTGATGCTCGTGGCGACACAGCCCGTTTCTCAGGCACTGCGTGGTGCGGTCGAGGCTCTTTGCTAACGGGGGCCCTGCGGCTGCATGCGGACATGCTACCGGGTCTCTCCTACACACTACCACGTTCTGATACTAAGCCAGGGGGGGTCTGAACACCAGCAGTCTGGGACCCCTTTTCTTTCCCCGCGGGGGCGGAACCTACGGATCGCGCAGTCTCCATTTGTGCTGCCATTTCTAGCTTGTTGATGGCGTTTTCAACGGGTCGGTGTCTCGGCAGCTTCGTGGCGCAATCTGCTACCTTACCCAAGACTACGGGCTGCTTCCACAAATCTAAGCGCCGAGGTGTCAAGAAAGCTTGACTGACAAGCGGCGACCGACGCCTACCGGCAGCTCTCATCCGCGCCGCGTCAGTCTTTTGCTCCTTCGCATCGAGATATTCCACGAGCTTTACTCGGCCACGAAAGCATCCGGATTTGGATCGGCTTCAAGGATAGAGGCTGGCTCCGTCATGGGAAAAGTATGCTTACTCTTCACCACCATGTCCTGGTCGTTTGTAAACTGGGAAGACGACCAGTTCTTGGGAGATATCGATGTGCGTAATCCTCCCAGGGAGCGGTTCACTCCGCCAGCCTATCGAATGCTTTCGTTCTCGTTACCGAGTCGCGGACGACTATGCAACGAATGGCGCTGGGCAGAACACGAACGAAGGTCGGACGAGGCGAGGTGGTTTGAGGCGGTTTGACTTTCCTCGCCTCCCTGGAGGATGTTTTGCAGCTCATGGCCCCGACACCTTCGGGCCAAAGAAGAAAAAAAAAAGCTTACTGCCTCAAACGTGGTAGAAAACAAGGGGGATTTGCAAGGCACGAGCCAGCAGAGCCGATCACCCGTTGTGGTGGTAATACCAGTGTGAGGGCTCCTCTTCCTTCAGGTTCTGCAATGCCTGTTCCTGAGACCAGACCAGGGGCGACCATACACATTCCACGGGATTCGAATCAAGCATGAATAACCTTACCTGGCCAGTGGGGGTCCTCTAATTCTAGGACGTTAATACACGAAAAGAGAAGAAGAAAAACAGGGGGGCAAGGATGACTGAAGACATCGGACGAGGGAATAGAGTTTCGGTTGCCTCGAGCACCTTACCCCTTTGAAGGTCTGGATGTAAGGGACTTTGGACGACGATGGACCGAGTCCCGAAACACGACTCTGCGGTTGGCCTGACTCAACGGTGTTGCTATTCTGAATGATGCGATGAGGGAGCAACGCACCATCTAGACAATCGTGGCTCAGCACGCAACGCAGCCGCGTGGTGGACATTGACATCTGTCTTGCCCTGGGCTGGTTTCAGGCTCTCGGTCACAGTCTCTCGACATGTTCCGCTTCACGCCACTCCTTTCAGTCGTCCTCCTCCTCAGGCTCATGTTTTGGGACGAGAGGCGGACTGAGTACATAAACCCTCCGACCCAACTCCCCTCTTGGCGATTTCTTTGGATTGATTCGACGGCAGGCCTCACAATACCAAGTTTAATACAGACATTCCCTTAGAAACGACTTGACTTCAGTTCATCAAATCGACACGGCTCGATCTTATAATCTATTTTCAACCTCGGTTCACTTCAGTCCATCAAAATGAAGTTCCTCACATTTTCTCTTTTCCTCGCCTCGACACTCGTTAGCGTCAGCAGTGCTCCCGCCGATGTTGACAGCAGGGCTGTCGCGTACGTCTTCCACCATCTGGGATCATGAGGGAAACATCACTAACATCGCACAGTTACCAAAACAACTATGACCAGAACCTTCAGGAGCGCGAGGAGCCCCGTGGCATCACCGTTCCTCAGTTCGCCGGAGTCGAGACTACCAGCGGCGTAGTCTCCCAGGTCGAGGACGAGGAGGAGGCCGTTCCCCTCCGTGCTCGCCAGCTCCTCAAGAAGAAGAAGGGCAAGAAGGGAAAGAAGGGCAAGAAGGCTAAGAAGGCCAAGAAGGCGAAGAAGGCTAAGAAGGCCGCCAAGGCCAACGCCGGCGCCGCGAAGGCCAAGGGCAAGGCTACTCCCGCCGCCGGTGCTGCTAAGGGCAAGGGCGCCGCTCCCGCCGCTCCCGCTGCCGGCAAGGGTAAGGGCGCTGCCCCGGCCGCCCCGGCTGGTGGTGCTGCTGCTAAGGGCAAGGGCAACAACCCTCCCGCCGCCGCTCCTGCTGGTGGTGCCGCTGGTCAGCCTCCTGCCGCCCCGGCTGCCGCTCCCCCCGCCGCTCCCCCTCCGGCCGGTAACAACGCCGCTGCTAAGCCTGCCGGTGTTGCTCCCGCCGCCGCCGCGCCCGCGCCCGTCGCTCCCGCGCTCCCCGTCGCCAAGCCTAACTAAGCTACTCGCTGTTAGTTGCGTTGGAGTGGTAATGGAAAGGTCACCGGCACTGGTGCCGGTCGCTTGATTTCTACGAGGGCTACGGAAAGCAGTCATCAGAGCACGCGTCTACGGGGGCTGCCTGATCTGCGATGACGAAAAAAGGGGGTAGGAAAGTCAGGACGTCCGGTTCCTGGGCCGGTCCTGTACGGAGGGTTTAGGGGACTTCTGATACCGGAGCGCGGATGTACATACATTAGCCACGACGAGCAACTCAAGCGTCAGACGATTTTCTTTCTCACATTCTTCGGGTGACTCGTGATCGGTCTCTTCGCGATCCGAATCCGTGTGTACGTGCGTGTGTGTGGTCAACAGTGACATCAACATGTCGAGAGCGTGACACGAGATTCTCTTGGCGCTATGATACCAATTATAGGGGACTCTTCGTTTCATGGGTCGCCCGTCCACGGAAACATGTTTCGTGTGCTGATGGTCAATGCCCACGCACACGCGCGCATGCAGGTCATACACCATGTACGTTGCGGTCGTCTCATCTCCCGTTGAGGGTAAGGAAAAGTGTAATTATTGAATCGAATTTCGCGAGCCAAGAAATACCAAGAACAAGAAAGCTTATGGTGAATGACGGACCCCTTTCTCTCCGGAAGCTGATCGACTTTGCGAATGCAGCCTTTACTGATGATGGGGGTTTGACGGAGGATGTTGGATGGTCTTCCCCCATCGCACTCGACATATCACATTCACGACCCAGACATCACCGCCGCAAACATATCACCTTTTCGGAAAGTCTTCCGGGATGGCACTCCTCGAGGTTCGCGCGACCCGACTTCTCCGGCCGATCCACCGAAACCCCCCGGGGGATTGCGACACAGCCAATGAGGTGGTTCGCTCGACGATTCAAGCCTTTCGAGCTGAAGCATTTGCTTCCTATCCGAGCGTTTCTTTAATTCGCCTGCTCCGCCAGCCAGCAAGCAAGCATCCACTGGTATGAGTCAACCCACTCTTTTCCTTCCCTCTTGGTGTTTTCTTCTTTTCTCTTTTCGTTCCCGTTTCCCCACCGAACTAGCTCATTCTTTCTCCAGTTTGATGGGCACGCGAAGAAAATCTCGTCGCCCACACTTACCCACCCACCTCTCGCCTCTTGAGCAGAATCTGCTTCCCAACCGCCAAGATCAACCCATCAGCTCAACTAGCTGATCACGGCCGGTTGGCCCAATGGCAAGGCGTCTGACTACGATTCATCGTGCAATCAGGAGATTCTGGGTTCGACCCCCAGGCTGGTCAAGTTCATTTTTGTCCTCATCACGTATCGATGTGTAACCCTTTTGATGTTTGCCTCCTTCGTGCTCGTAATCGGCTTCTCATGTGACCAACCCACCTCTACGAGGACTCGTCTCACTCCCATGCCTCAAAGTCATAAGAGTCAACCCATTGTTCTTATTCTTGAACAAACACAACCTCCTCGGGAAACCATACGTTCATCAACAAAAGCTTTGTTCGTCGTCGGAGCATCAAAAGACGTCGAGTAAACTCTTTGTCCGTGAAAGAAAACAACGATAAGCTTAAAAGGGGTGACAGAACTCAGTGACGCGCTAGCAAAAGAAGTTCTTTTTTCTGCTGAGTTTGGCCTCCCCTCCCGCGTGGCCGTCCCACGCGGGCGATGATGGATGCCTCTGCCCTGCATAAGCTCAAGCTTCGCACTTGTCAGTCCGAGTTTGTTCGCAAGACGTCATGGATTGGGAAGGGGTATCTTCGCCATTCGTGCTGCCACGGCTACCCTGAAGACATTTCGCGAAAGAACAGGACCACGACGAAAGTAGAGGGTCTTGAAAAGATTACAATAGCATATTCTGCAGAACTACCACCCAAAGATGAGGCGGCCGACCGGTCGGAGAGTTCCTGCGACGAATTCGCGATCTCGTGCCCGAGCGTTGGGTTTTCTCCGACCGGATCAAGGGTTTCCAGGGGTGCCCTCACCAAGATCTAGGTTCATCTTCGGTAGGTGTTAGAGGAATGGGCGCGGCCTTATCCCCGAAGATTGGTGTCGTCTCTGGAGAACATCGACGTTATCAAGGGACCTCGTTTATGCAATACACCTGCAAACCTTCTTGACTTCATCCCCCAATAAGCGGTTCATGATTGTTGATGGAGTGTGTACAATGGAAACACTGACGCTATCTACGGTGGTCTTGATGGGCTGCTTTCACTTTCACTCGAGGTCACACTTCGTGATGATCCGGTGTCTGGCTATGCTGCGAGAACTCGAATCATCTCACGCTATCTCTTGCTATCTCGGTTGATTAGAATGACCAAGTGGATGAGGGACTCGTGATTTATCTGTCTTCTGGGTGTAAGTTGAGATTTGGGCGTGCCAAGCACATGAGCTTACACGCATTCTCAAGTACTCTGCTGGTGGCAGAGCAGCTGAGAAACACATCCAGCGAACACTTTTCCCTGAGGTACCCAGTTCCTTTTGGTGAATTGGCCTACGACGATGTTCTTTGATCACAAACATCACACACGGCCACTTCTAACGTAGCACCTTACTGGTCAACAACTTCACCTCAGTTTTACACGACCTCCACTCCCATCCTGGGCAGATGACTTCATCCATACCGACCTCATTCTGACCATTTGCACCGCAAGAAGCCAAGAATATCGAAAAATCGTGAAGCATCGCTCCTGCCTCTGCCTCGCCCGTCCCTGGTCTCGTCCTCAGCCTCCCTACAAATATCTCTTCCCCGAGCCTCCACCCAACCTCAACTCTTCCACCTTCACACCTCAACAAACACGACTGCGAACCGCAACAAGCTCAGACTAGGAGTCCTCAGTAGCACCTTCCTTCCGTCTCATTCGAGTCTGGCACCGACCTACAAATACCTTCCATCCCCACCTTAATCTTCTTTCAACTCTTCCACTCCCACAAACCCCAACGATCAACCGTTCTTCACATCTTCACAATATCACTCACCGATATTGGCAATTGGGCATCGCTGCGAAAACACCAAGCCGAATCTAAGACGTGCCTTCCTTAACTTCAACTTCAGCCAGCATCAACACTCAAACCAACACCAGGACTTCGCATTGGTAGAACCACAGTGCCAACATAGCAACGCCGAAAAACAACATCCCACCTCTCCCATCTTTCGCCAACCCTTACATCGTTACCCATCCTAACCGCTACAATGGACTACGACAAGACCGAGGAAATTGTCGGCTTCCAGAAGGAAATAATCGACCGCATCCCAGACATCGTCGACCCCGACACTCGCATGGAACTCATCGAGGCCATCGAGACCGACATCGACAGCTCTGACCCGAACAGAATCCGCCTCCTCTGGCACGTCCGCAGCATGTACATCAACAACGAAGAGCCCCCCGCTTCCATGGTCATCGCCCTGGCCCTGTGCTACAGATCCGGCGCCCTGGAGGGTGAGCTCAAGGAGGTCCAGCAGACCTTCTACGATCAGCATCCCGACCTCGCCCACCACCTTGAGGAATGGACCGTCCACGGTGCCGAAGTGCTTGGCAGGAAGCTCCGCGAGAAGGGCGAGAACAGACCCGGCAACGGCAAAGGACCCTCCCGCGCGGCCGCAGTCCGCGACGACGACGAGATCCAGGAGATCGGTTCAAGTCGCGCCGTGTCCAAGGGCAAGGGCAAGAGAGTCGCGCCTCATGACGACTCCTACGACGACATCAACCCTTTCAAGAAGCGAATCGACAACACGGACGTCAACCACGTCGATGACGAAAACACCCCGCGCCTGAACCTCCTCTTCCGCCACGAGACCCCCGAGGAGGTTCCCGATCATCTCTCCCCAGAAGACGACAACAACACCACCAGAACTCGAGAGACGACCCTGAACCTCAACAAGACCGACTTCCCCCGCGTTCCCATCCGCGACGACCGCGCCGCCACGGCCGACGCCATGCTCACCCCCCGCAACCCGGTCCCCATCCCCCCCAAGGCCGCCTCCCTCCTCGCCCGCGACTGCGCCGCCAAGATGCACACCGAGCGCAAGGAAGCCCGCCAGGCCGCCCGCGCCGAGATGAAGCAGCGCCTCGTCGCCATCACCGCGGACCTGACCGACAAGCTCTCCCACGCGAACACGCTCCGCCACGAACACGAGGACCTCCTGGCCAACCGCCCCGCCACGCTCAACGAGAAGACGATGGCGGAGTTCATCGCTAAATCTCACGACCTCACCTCGCGCGCCATGAAACACCAGACGGACGCCATCCGCGGCATCCTCGAGGTCGGCCGCGTGCGGGAGCAGCTCGCCACCTCCACGATCCAACACCTCGAGGAGCGCGTCGACAACATGGCCAAGTACATGAATGCGGTCAGCGAGTTCGCCCGCAACGAGGCGATGCGGCGTGGATTGATGCAAGAGTGAATGGAGGATTGCATGAGTTGAGAAATGGATTATGACAGTTTGGAGATGGACACAGTGGAGGCTTTCTATGATTTGCTTTTTTTTGCTTTCTTCTTTCTTTTCTTTCCTGCTGGTTTTTTGCATTTGAGGGTGGTTGATAATGGATGGAAGGTGACAGACAGCACGGAGTTGGCTTTTTTCGATCGGATATCCTTCAGAGTTGATTTTGCAAGGAGAGGAATGGGCAGATACCCCAGAGACTGTTTCCAGACGATAGATCGACAGCGATGGATTTTTGCGAGGAGGCATACATTGATACCCAAGGAAGTGTTTTTGAGACGATAGATCAGAATGGATAGCGCCGAATAACATTGCAATGGAATCACAACGACCAGTTCTTCTCAAGTGATAGAGGCTCCCAAGTCGAAGTAACAGAATGATCGGTCAGCTTTCCATATGAGAGATACCAAAGTGAAGTAAAATCAGAGATCCATTAAGTTTCTATGTGACCGGTTCTTCTCCTCAGATAAGGGGTTACCGGTCGTTCTATGATATATGTTTGAGAGATGCTCCCAGACCCGATAAACTCCAGAAATACAGAGAGATTGACAAAACAGAGAACAAAACAAGACCGTGGTACAAAACATTAATGATTACAGAGGGTGTGGCGATATTTATATGCCGCCACCCTTTTCCTGCTTCTTTCGCAAAAACCAGCTCTCGCCCGGATACGCCAATGTTCTGCTGTCAGTGTATCTGAACCAGAACAATACAAAAAAGAAAGAAGACAAAACAGGACCGCTTTTGTAAGAACACCACCACGACATACTTTTTTGGTTTTTAAATGCAAGTGCCCCATTTCGCCTGGCAACCGTTCGCCACCTTGCAGTTGCCGTTGTCCCAGATCCAGATCTTCGTGGTACCGCACTGTCCCTTGCTCGTGCAACAGAGACCCGTGCCGCACTTCTGTCCCGAGGCCTCGCCGCAGGCGTCACCGGCGTTGTTGACGACCTTGACGTCCTTGACCGTCTGCGTGGGGGCAGGGGCGGAGGAGGACGTCTTGGAAGCCGTGACGAAGGTGGAGGAGCTGCTGGTGGGGATAGTAGTGCTGCTGATGATACTGCTGCTGCTAGAGACGAGGATGTTGTTTTCGATGCTGATGGAAGAGGAGGAGGAGGAAGACGACGACGACGACGACGACGAAGACGAAGAAGAGGAAGAAGAATCGCTCGGCGACGACAACGATGAAGACGACGACACAGAAGAAGAAGAATCGCTGGAGCTGCTGGAGCTGCTTGAAGCAATGCTGCTAGTGACAACAGCGTCAACAGAAGGAGCAAAGGTGCTGCTGCTGATGATGGAGCTGTCAGAAGAAGTGGTGCTGAAGCTGCTAGAGCTGCCTGAGTCGACGCTGCTGGACAAAGAGGAAGAGGAGGATACAGAAGAAGGGTCAGAAGAAACAGGAGAAGAAACACTGGAGCTGCTGGAGCTGCTTGAAGCAATGCTACTGGTGACAACTGCATCAACAGACGGAGCAAAAGTGCTGCTGCTGCTGATCAAGCTGTCAGAAGATGTGCTGAAGCTGCTGCTGCTGCTCAAGATGCTGCTGCTGCTGCTGCTGTTGCTGACAACGGCATCGACGATAGAGGGAACAATGGAGGTAGAGGAAACAACAGAGGAAACAACGGTACTGCTAGCAGGAGTATCAACAGAGCTGCTACTTGTGGCGAGGGTCTGGGACGAAGTCACGGTTGAGGTCTCATCTTGTTGAAGAGGAGCTTGAGGTGCCTGGGAAGTATTGTTAGCGAAAGGTAAGATAGAAGAGGTCAGCGACGGAGCGCTTGTGACCTCGGTTGACATACCACATGTGCCGAACTTGGATTGACATCCAGTGCCACAGTGAAGATCAGTGCTACCACAGTAGCCGTAAGGCGAGCAGCAGTTGCCAAAGGTAGAACCCTGGCAAGTCTCCTGGCCGGCGGTGCCGTTGTCACCACACTTTCCATCTAAGGAGACGTTGACGTTCGTACCGCTGCCGGAGCACTTTCCGAATGAGCCTTGGCAACCAACATCGCAGTGAGCAGTAGTGCTACCACAGTATCCGTAAGGCGAGCAGCAGTCACCGAAGTTGGTGCCCAAGCAGTTGAAGGCCTTGGTACCGCCACAGGTGCCATCGGTAGACGGGTTGGTGTTCGTTGCCGCCGCGCCTGTAGCAGTGCGAGAAGGGTTGGAGGCGGCAGTGCCGGTCGGACGGTTGGAAGGAGCGGAAACAGAAACGGAGCCGCCGCAGGTACCGAAGGCAGATTGACAGCCCGTACCACAGTGGGCATCGGAAACACCACAGAAGTTGTACACGGAGCAACAGCTGCCTCCTGAGTATCCGATACAGGTCCTGCCAGCGGCTTGACCACACTCTCCGTCGTCAGACACCGGCCATGTGGAGCTAGGGAGGGCGGAAGAGCCTGTCCGGGACGCGCTACCGGAAGCAGCGGGCGCAGAGGCGGAGGCAGAGGCAGAACCGCTGGCAGCGCGGCTGACACTTCCGGAGGCCGAAGAAGCTCCGCTGGACGCGGAAACGGAGCTGCCGCAAGTTCCAAAGAGAGGCTGGCATCCCGTGCCGCAGTGGCCGTCGCTGGAGCCGCAGTAGTTGTACTGAGAACAGCAGCTGCCCTCGGAGTAACCGACACATGTCTTTCCGGCGGCCTGGCCACACTCGCCGTTGTTGGTGACCGGGAGACTGGACGAGGGGAGAGCGCCGGTGCTGGAACGCGTGCCAGAGGCACTTCCAGATGCGGAAGAGGCCTGGGCGGACGATGAGCCGGATGCCCGAACGGTGGATGAACTCGACGCCTGGCTAGACACGGAGCCAGATGCGGAGACAGAGCCTGAAGAGGATCGAGTCAGAGAAGAAGACCCAGAAGCGGTAGAGCTTGAAACAGTGGCAGCAGTGACACTTCCCGAGGTGGAAGTGCGAGAGCTAGAACCAGTGCCCGTGGAGCTGGTACGGGCGCTTGAGCTGGTGCCAGAGCTGCTGGTGCCAGTACGCGAACTTGAACCAGAGCTGCTGGTGCGAGAGCTGGAGCCGGAAGAGCTGGTACGCGCGGAGGAAGAGGTACCAGTAGAAGAACGCGAAGAAGAGCTGCTGCGGCCAGTAGATGAAGAAGTCCTACCTGTGCTGCTGCTGCTGCTAGTACCAGCATTGGTACCGCAGTTGCCGAAGCTAGCCTGGCAGCCAGAGCCGCAGTATGCAGCAGTCTTTCCACACCATCCGTTGACGGAACAGCAGTTACCGAAAGCGGAGTTGAGACAAGTCTGTCCGTAAGTCGAACCACAGCGGCCGGCAGAAGAGACCGCCAGAGCAGTAGAGGTAGGGAGGGCAGTAACACCGCCGGTTGAGAATGATGCGGTCTTGGAGGAGGCGGTAGAAGAACAAGCCAAGGGGCTGACGGCACTGATCTTGAAGTTGTAGCCAGGGTTACCGCGGCGGTACCAGTTGGCGGGAGGGTCACCCAAGCACTCGCCGACAGTAACAGCCTTCCAGCCGTTGGCAACAACGGAATCGAGAATATGAGGAGTGAGAACCTGGGCGATCTGCTGGTGGATATCGTGCTCAATGTGCAGGTATGAAGCGTTGCAAGGAGAGCGAGCCGTCATGGCAGCGTCCCAAAGGCCAACACTGACACCGATCTGGCTGGGGTCTGTGTGAAGGTAGCCCTGAGTGTCGAGGTCGAAGTAGGTGATGTGGTAGCCAAGGTCTGCCATCTGTCCCTGGCATTCGGAACCGCAGATGGAATAAGGCGGGCGCATGTAAGTAGGGTAAAATCCAAGAATGTCGGTAAAGGCCATCTCGTTGTAGACCATTTGGTTCTTGCGCTGCGACAAAGTCATCGCATCAAGGTTCTCGTGAGACCACGTGTGACTGGCAACCTGGTGACCCTCGGCAATCATTCGCTGTACCTGTTAGACCATGCCTGAAACCAGGAGACTCAACAAACTTACTGAAATGAGATCACGGTAGTTAACGTTGATCATGCCCTTGCCAATGTTGTTTCCAGTAATAAACCAAGTGGCAACGGCACTGTGAGCCTTGAAGGCGTCCAGCATGGCTGCGGTGTAGATGTACGGGCCGTCGTCGAAGGTGATGGCGACGTCACCGTCGTTCACACAAGAGTAGATGCCCACACCGCCGTAGGGGACCTTGCCGCGCTTGGGTCTCGCGTCGTTGGAGGTATCGGGTCCGTTGGGCTGCTCGTTACCGTCGCATGCAGGGCCGTAACTGATCTGACAATCAGGCGAGTTGCAGTACTCAGGGCCTTGGCCACACCATCTGTTTGGCGTTAGATGTCTTCTCGTGATCAAACGAAAGGCTGACATACCCAGATGCCGAACAACAATCTCCAGCATTGCAAGCTCCGAGTCCCGGACCGCACTGAGAACCGTCTCCGACTGTGATTCCCGAAGGAAGAGCCTGCGTGACACCGGAGCCCTGACGAGCCTGAAGTGGCTTCGTCGGCTCCTCATCGCGGGGCTTGCGTGGTACGGAAGGGGGGTTCCAGGCCTCGTATGCGGCTCGCTTCTTCCGTAATTCGTCGGGTCCCCGGCGTCCGTAGATGACGTTCATGTGAGGCTCATCATGTCCATGAGCCTGGACAAACTCCAACCCAGTGAGGGTGGCGAGGAGGAGAGGAGACCAACGCATTGTGGCTCTGTGTGTGGCGGTAGATTGGTGATGTGTTGTTAGAATAGGGTGTTCGGTTACAAGGACATAAAACACAATCCAGGAGGTAGAAAGAAGATTCCAATGCTGTGGTTAGTAACTCTGAAGCACTTTGATGGATGATGACGAGGGGAAGCAGATACGATACACTTGCGCGGTTGACGAGGTTATATACAGCAGTGGTGGAGGCGTCGAGGTTGAAATCGCCGCATCAGAAACGGCGTGACATATCCGACAACAAACGTGTTGATGACCGCAAAGAGCCACACCCCCGCTCGGAGCCTCGAGCAGTCATCAACCTGAAATTAGAGGGTCGAGAGGCGAGGCCGCCAAGTAGTCCGGGTTAGGAAAGCTAGTGTGGCGTCGAGACTTCTAGATCGCCGTATCTACGGGTGAGAAAAAGTGCGTTCATCGTCGTGGAACGAAAATGAATATGACGCGCTGGGCTATACTGTAACCGCAAACCGGCACACCCGTCCGAGATCCCATTGAAAATGTCGCAAGGAGGGATCCGAAAGAAGGTGCGATGACAATCCTCAGGTAAGACCATACCGAAGGCAGCGAGGCGGAGGGGACAGGAATAGGCCAAGATGGACGGATGGTGATGGAGAGTGTACGCGAGAGTAACGCGGTCAGAGCGGACTAGACGAAAGCCACCGGATGCGACTGTGCAGTTTGAAGACGCCAGTGGCTGAACGGGGCCGCACCGACGGGTGCGAGAGGCTCGAGGGGTGAGGAATGCCACGCCGTAGACCCATCTTCGGACCCTTCTGGACGTTCGCCTGGTGAAGAGGACGAAAGAAGGGGGTTGTGGGAGTTGGGAATGGAACAATACGCACCCGCCGATCCTGGACAAGTTCGGTTGGCACGCCACAGAGACCACCCATTCCAAGCATACTCCAGGAGCCTATTCCGTGGAGTTGTCTCTTACTGCCGTAGTCTCATAGTCAAGCCAACGTAACAAGCTTGTTCAAGACTCGACTGCAGCGGCAGGGCTAAGCCAGTCCCGGCGGTGCCTGACAGTAGTGCGTCCCGTTGATTGGGCCGCAGTTGGCAAGATCAGAGAGAAAAATAGAAATGGGACGAACGCATTCGGGTTGCCGTCCGATCTGATCTAACATTCCTCCCTTTCCCACGGGGAACCCTGGTTACTTGGCATTGCCGCACCGCGCAGATGAGTACGAGCCCCTGACACTTGGTGCGTCTCCTGTAATCTGTATCAGTTATCCGTCGACTGACCATGTGCTGTGGTGCTCTTGGCATTGCACTACGATCCATCGATCAAAAGAAAGGCGTCTCACCGACGTTCAGATGCTGTTGAACTGCATGTTTGACTTCAGGTCAGAACAGACCCGGAGACCGGCCGTCTGGTCAGACTTGCAGTTGATGTCCTTGCTCTGCATGAGAGCTCTAAAAGCTGCGTAGGCCAAACAACAAACAAATAAACAAAGCTCCAGGCTCGACCGCAGAGATCAACAGAGCATGGGCGCTGCCATCCCATCATCTCGCGCCCGTCTATCAGGTAGGTGTCGCGGGGCCGAGCTGCGCGAGCTTTGGGCCGGGGCGAACCAAGTCGCTGGTAACCACCCGAATGTCACCCAAACGGGCGCCGCCGCTGGATGTGTAGTGCTTTGAGTAAGATCCTCACTAGAACCACGCAATGGGCCAGTCGAAAACAGGCTCAGAGTTTTGGGAATGTCATTTAAAATTTCGTCCTGCTCAAAAGCTCACATGCCGTCTTTCCGAATCGTTCCCGACGTGCCGATAATCCGGCGAGCCATTCGCTGAAAGAGGTTGTGTATATAAACTCCACGACGCCCGACGCCACAACCATCGCCGGAATTGGTATATCAACCCATTATCGGACCATCATTCCCCGCCTCGTCCGGGTGACGTCGCTAACAAGTGCTCGGAGATCTTTCTCCCATACAGCCGTTTGCGGCAACGACTATCGCGGCAACCCTACTCTTGTCAGTGCCACCAAAAATGCTCACTCAACCACAGCTTTCAACTTGAAGATCCCCATCGCCACAATGCTTAAACACCGTCATCTCCTCAACATCTGACATCGTACATAACTTCCCTTTCTCTTTGCCCGGTCTTTGAACGCGGTATCTGGAGAACCGGCTGTAATAGGCGTACAGCCCCGTCGGTCTGCCGCACACCGCGGTGGGGATCGCGGCACGTCAATCGCTTGCCGAACCGTGGGGCGTTCCGTTCGGCCGTCAGATGGGGTTCGTAGCTGTTTCTTTCGCCGCGGCCTTCGCCTTCGCCTCTTCGGCCATGGCTTTAGCTTTGGCGTCGTCGTCATCACTGTGGTCCGGAGTCGATGCCGGGGCGGGGCTGCCGCCGCCCAGGCCGTAGTCGAGCTTCAGCATCTCGTCGAGGTCGTGGTCGTCAAGGCCGTCTAACTTGATTGGAGGGGTGTCAGCGTTTTGAGTCTTGGCGTCTTCCTCGGCTTTCTTCTGTCGGGCTTCCTCTTCTTCGAGTTTCTTCCGCGCTTCTTCGGCTTGTTTTGCGAGCTCCTCCTCACCTTGCTTTTTACGGCGTTCCTCCTCCTCTTCCTTGGCCTTTGCCGCCGCCTCTTCCGCTGCCTTTGCCTGTTCTTCGGCCTTTTTCTTAGCTTCCTGTTCTGCCAGCTCTTTCTCTTCGTCGGTGGGGCCAATACCTCCTTCTCTGTTGTCGCCGTCACAGCGTTCACGTTCCAGCTTCATGTCCATGATCAGGCTGACCTCTGGACAGTAGTCGAAGATCTTCTTGCGCTGCTTCGGGTTCTTCCAAACCTTATCGGGTAACGTTTTCCCGCTATCCCGGACATGATAGCCCATCGGCTTTTCCATGTAGACATCTTCGACCGCAAGAACACCTTTCTTGCCGTGCGCAACCTTCTCTCCTTGCATCACCCACAACCGCTTCCCGTACCACTCGTCTTCAGCTTCCGTGTTATTATATCTCTCCTGGAATTGTAAAACCCTCTTGATGGAGGATACCCGTCGAAGAGAGAGACCGCCATTGCCCGAGAAACGATCGTCGGGCGTTCTGAAACGAGCGTTAGTAAGGAGGCGTCATCCTTTCGGTTGCGAGGTAGGATCTTACTTCGGTGCGCCCGCCCAACTCCAATCCAGCCACTCATTCAAACTCGTCGGTGAATTGGAGCACAATATGCTATCCGATTCAAACTTGAGGATCCACTCTACGCCGGGGAGGAATTCGTCGTAGAAGCGCACGTCGGTCAGGAGGCGGTAGACATGCTCCTTGGACTCGATCTCCCAGGGCTCGGGCAGGATCATCAAGTCCAACTTCCCGGTGATCTGGTGATGCTTGACGCCGTAACTTCGAGAGACACTGACGACGCTCTTGTTGGAGCCGATGAACAAGAATCTCCAATCGGGAGGCACGACAGACGTCATGTGCAACAGCTGGGGAACAAGATGCGGAAGAGGTCGCGGTTCGATGATGAGGGCCAGCTTGGAGGCGTTGTACTTGGCCCTCGGGTCGTCAGAAGGATTCCAATCAACCTTAATCTTGGGAATCTTCTGTCTTGCTTCGTCCAGTCGCGAGGTGAGTTGGGCCTTGATCATGGGCTGATAACCCGGGAGGATATGCGCAAACCACCACCTACAGAGAGCATTAGCATACCGGGATTCGCGAGTGGTCTACACGGCAAGGGAAGACGAACGTGATGGCCAGTGAGGCAAGCACGAGAAGTTTGCCTCTCGTGATGGCGAACATGCCCGCGGAACCGTTCATGGCAGCCATGGCTAACAGGCGTCTACGTCAAACGACGCGCAGGTGATGACAGCGTTTGACTGGCTTTACGGAATGATGGTCAATGGTGAAAAAGTGGGAAATGTCGAGGCAATACAGACAGAGTCGAGGGATCGAAACGCTCGGAGTCGGCGGAAAGTCAACGGCGCGTCATATCGAGTTGTGAAACCGCCGAGAAAGAATGCCAATATGGACTTGGTTTCGCGTTGTGGACAGCTCGACAGTTCTCAGAGAGTACAGTAGCTTCGCCTCGACGCGCAGGAATTCCGGGAGGGTAATTGAGGCTGAGTGTCGCTCGGTTTCGAGGTGCCGGTCCGGACAAGAAACAGCTCAAGTGAGGGAGAAAGAGAGGGAAATGCAAGGGGCCGAAGAGAGATCCAGAACCCGAGATAGATAGGGCAGCGTGTACGGAGTACTGCGTAGATGACGAGTCACTGCCAACGGCGCCCGAAGCTGATGTCGAATGTCACTCGGCCGTCCCACAGAGAGGGAAGGGGAGCTGTAAAAAGGAGGGGAAAGGCCTGGAAATCAAGCAATTCCACTAACAGCAGCCCACGTCGGAGGACACTAAAAAACGGCGACTCTGAGTGAGGTGAGGAGGTGCATGGACCTGGCGGAACATGTGGGAGGAAATGAGGTCGGGTGGATGTTCGTCGCCGGGTTGTCCTTACAGCTGGAACAGCAGTTGTGGTGGAACATCGAGCACATGGGCGCAGGGAGGAGGAGGGAGGAAGTGACGAGAAGGTACCGTCGAGTACCTGCCTTGCAGAGTGCTGGCGCGGCATGCAGGGAAGGGGCTCCTCCCGAGGGTCCCACCTTTCCGGGACGCTCCTCCCTTCCATGTCGCGCCCAATCAAGGGGAAGGGTCTCTCCCTGCGGAAATACCACGACACAACTCGGTCTCGTCATCAGAGTGAGTTCTCTCATTGTATCATGTTCTGCACTTAAGGGCGATGCTTCAGATCTTCATTTCCATCTCTTGTGCAATGGTTCGTCAATCGGTCTCTTCTTCCCAGCCCAGCATGATGCGAACCGTCATTACTCGAAACCAGTTCCGCAGGGGAACATCGTCCAACCTGCCATTGGCGCACGGCTTTGACAACTCCAGATGACAGTCAGACATGCAGCTGGCAGCAGCATGGCGATAAGACTCTCGCTCTCAGCGTCGTTACTACAGTACACCAACATGGCGCCCTGCATGGCGCAAGATTACGCTGGACTGGTCCTGCACTACCGCAGAAAAAAAAAGTCTAGCGGTGCAAATCAGGACACCGTTTCTTCTTCTCCTGTTCGAAGAAGACCCTACTTGGTTAAATGTTTTTGAGACGGCTTCCCCTACGCCCGTTGCGCTTGAAGCATTCCTATGCATGCGACGAGAATGTTGCCGGCCGGCCGTATCATCTCCAGAAGGAAGTCCGTCTTTCCGAAAAGCGATATGGATACGGCCAAGACGACCCTTTCTCCATCCCTGCGTGGAATGGGTGTGGAGGTTGAACGAGGCTGGAGCCTGGAGAAACAGGGCTCGCGATGTGCTGCAAGGGCCGTTGGTCAAGCCCAGCAATGGGAGACTGCTGCAGGCACCGATCGGGAAAGCCACCCATCTCTGTGCTCGTGTAACACATGTAGGCGAGCGGCGTAGCAACGAACCTAACGCCTCAACCACTGGCGCCAAGGAGAGAGACACTGGACCACACGACATCATCCGTTGACTGCATGAACGAACAGTCTGTGGCGGGTTGCCAACAAGTCCCCAGTGCCACTGTGTAAGATGCGTCGTTCCTTCATATAATAGGCTTTCATCTTGAAAGTCAAACCGAGGGTCGTGTGAAGTCTCGTATTATATGAGACAGCATCGCACACGGTCTCCCTTGCGCCCTTGCATTCTGTCTCTGAACGCTGTCGCTGTCTGTCCAACTGTCCACAAGCTAGGCCAAGGAAATGAGATTGATTTGACGTTGGATCAAGCGACCGATGAGGCTCCCGTTGGCCTGTGGCATCTCGTCTGGAAGAGGCGGCTATCGGGAATCCGTGTGCTACCGCGCACCAGACCATTGGGCAGCGTAGCGACCCCTGACCTTTAATGCGTTGGGTAATGGGTGACACGGCCGGCAATACCGAGAGTTCGGCTCTGGGGCTGTTGGTTTGGATTCGCGACCGGTGCTTGTGGACTCGTTAGTCGAGGGACCCTGAGCTTGGAGACGGCCAGGAGACGGCTGCGAACTTGACCAACGTTCACGAATCGTTCGGTAGGCTTGGGACGACCATTTGCGCCCGTCGCAAATTGCATCTCTCCGTGGCCGCGCTTCGTGAAATGCCATCCTGCGACTCTTCTGTGGCGCTTGTGTCGAACGAAGATCAGCTTTGGACGAGCTCGAGGTGACAATCGTCGTCGTGGAGTGCGAATGGTGGCGTGACGTCCCGGAACCGTTCCTCCTTGCTTCGCCATCGAACGCTTCTAGAGGATCCAACCCCAGGGCGATGTATGGGGATGCGAACTGCAAGTCAGAGAATGATGGGGGGAGGGGACGGCAATGGAACCGCAGTGACTGACCTGGAGAAGTTGGTGTCGCCATCTCCATCTCGCTCATCTCACTCATCTGTGACCATCGGCGGGATACTTGTCGGTACATGTACGGTACTCGACCGATTTAGACCGCTACAGTGGCTGCATTGCGCGGTTTGACAGGGGCTCATGGCGACGACCGACGACAACAGGGGGTCAGGGCGAAAAGAAGGAAATCGGCTCTGCGGCCAGCTGCGAAATTGGGGCACTAACAGGCCGCTAAAACATCTCATTCGAATCCCTCTGCTTGAAACTTCCACGACCAAGGGCCCGGCCTGTTGATTGGGAGTCGCCGCCACAACTTTGTAGTGTACTCGGACGGCCCAGAGCTGGCGTGGACAGGTGCCAAGCGTAAAGGGGGAGGGAAGGGGCGTCTTATCATCAGATTGTTCCTTCCTCTGACCGTCTGTCGAGGAAGGGAGACCTCTGAAGCTACCTTACCAGCCTCTGCGGATGCTTTCTGTTGCAAGAGTGAGGTGTTCCCGTCTTGGACAAGGTGGAAATCGAGCTTTTCCTTTTCCACTTCCTCTTTTCACGAGCTTTTGCCATCCATTTACCTTCTCTTCTCCATCCACCACTCCCATCCATCCTTCGACCTCTACGCGGGACATGAGCAGCAGCTACTCTCGCAAGTAGCTGATCCGCTGCCGTCGTCGTCACCACCGGCCGCGGACCCGGACATGCATCGATACCCTGCAACACTACCGACCCATCCGCGCCATCGACCTTGCGTAATCGCTGTGGACCGGACGGCTCTGCGAATTGCGAGCACGCCCGCTCCAAGAGCCGGTCTGGTCTAGAACTTCCCCGACAAAATATCCGTCAGAAGGTCGCCTCCGCGATAACCACCGCCCCGAGGCCCGTCTACAAACCCTTTCCCTCAGCCGTCTTGGCTCTCCCGTCAAGATGGCTTCACCACCTCAAGCCGAGAGCATGTCGGACGTACGGCAGCAGCTCAAGGTCCTGCTGGTTTCCATCTGGGCCTTGATGAGCCGCCGGATGAAAGTAGCAGGCGCCTTCGCCATATTCCTGTAAGTTCCATCGTCTGAAATCCCGCCGTCTGCAGACCTGCGGACGTGCGTTATGCAGGTTGCTGACCATGGGGTGACAGCGGCCTGTCAATATGGCTCTCGCTACCTACGATCAAGACGATGAGCGTTCCCAAAGTCTCGCTCGAATACGCACACTCACCATACAACCACTCCAAGGTCGCCCTTCTCATTGAGAACAGACCCAACCCAATTCTCGCCCCCCTGATGTTGCACTTCATTTCCGTCGTACCTCCCGACTGGCGCTTCCGCTTCATGGGCTCGCTCGACTCTGTGCGCTCCATCAACCAGTCTGTCGCCATTCGCGAGCAAGTTGCCGCTGGCAAACTGGACTTGACTTACATCCCTTCCAACATGAGCACTGCCGGTCAGGAGATGATCAGCCGCTTCCTCACCAACCTCTGGCTGTATGAGTCGGTCCTGCAGCCCGCTGAATGGCTTCTGGTTTTCCAGACCGACAGCATCTTGTGCGCCAACAGCAGGCACAACATCAACGACTACCTCGAGTATGACTGGATCGGCGCTCCGTGGAACCCCGGCGGTCGCTGGGGCGGCAACGGCGGCCTCTCCATCCGCCGCGTCAGCGCCATGATCGATATCCTCCGATCCCAGAAGCGCGTGGACGGATCCGAACCCGAGGACGTGTGGCTGGCCGAGCGCCTTGCTCACAGACCTGGCAGCAAGGTCGCCAACGGGACGGTCTCGTTGATGTTCAGTGGAGAGATGCACTCGGGTCCGGGCACGGAGATCAAGAAGGAGGGACAGAATGCGACGCTCGAGGCGGCCGCAGAAGGCGAACTCATCCAAGGTATTGACGATTACCGCGAAGGCTTCTACGAACCTATGGGCTACCACACCGGCGGCAGTGGTATCTGGTTGCACAGTGCCATCTGGGGCACCCCAGCCCTGCGCAAACACATCTGGGAGTACTGCCCCGAGGTCAAGCTCACGTTGGCCATGGATGCCGCCAAGTACGTCCCCGGCAGCTGCAAGGCCAACTGGAAGAGAGGCCTCGATGCCTTTGAGGACGGAGAGCTCGTCGAACGCGAGGAGGAAGTCGCTGAAGAGGAGGCATTCTCACAATATCCATTCGGGACTGAGGTCATTGACGGAGAAGAATACCCCATGCTGCCGCCCAGCTTGATGGCATGGTAATGCATGACTGTCTACCATGTACGGATATCACATCTGGATCTGGGCCAAAATCGGCGCAGAGGGCGAAGTTTGTTACAGTACAGGTGTTGTTAGCAAAGGATTTGGCTTGGCGTTTGGAGGACATCTTGGCCCTGGAGGGAGCCGGACAAGATAGCTTATGAAATGAGTCATGTACGGCATGATCCTTAACCTTGACTGACCGTTGATCGCAACTTGAGACGCCCGACATAAGTCAGTGATCCCCGCCGGCGAGGCGGTCGGAAATGAGGCAGTAGTCCACGGCCCTACGAAAAAACATCGGAGGGGAACCGCCCTCCACGTACCAGAGAGTTCGCACGGGTGCTTTTATTAGCCGCCATCCACTCTACCTGCCGTACGCCGTCCGGAGTCTCTGGAAAACTGCGTACACGGATACCCTCGAAGAGAAGTAAACCTTAAAAAGGATGAAAGCCTCGATTTGTTACCTGCCAGAAGTACTCCTAGGCGCGAACGAATGCAGAAGTTCTCCTCCATTGGATCCTGCAGGACGAAAGGCAAAAACGACAAAAATCCATGACGAGGATTGCCACGGTACATACAGCAGCGTAATTACTGCAATCCCGCAACTCTGTGCTCCATTCCCGGGGTCACTTTGCGTGTGTGGACGAACACAGATCCTACGGCCGCGAGACAGATTGAGTTGGCTTTTTTTTCCCCCGGGACCTTTTGGGGTTAATGAGTTTTTACTGCATTGGTGCACTGAATAGAGTTGGGATTGTATGTGTGTATGCCGCCGCGGGCCGTCCTGCGTCTTCCATGCATTCTGCAACTGCGCGGCCCACGGGGATGTTAGTGCGCGCGCTCGCGTGCGTATGCGTGTGTGTCAACATGCCAGCAGTTTCGAGACCCGAACTGAAAGAGACGATTCCGAAGAACCGGATGAGCAAAACACCACCAGGGACATGGTCATGCAAGAGTAAATCGGATATCGAATTTGTGCGTGCTACCAAAACACTGTGCCGCCGGGATGCCGGCGGGCGTCTACTGGAGTGTGCGTTGCTTTCTCGAGACAACAATAGCCTAAGAAGGAAAACAAGACAAGAAACCAAGGCCGGCCACATGCGACTGGACGCGATTAGTTGAGAAAAGAACATCTAATTAGAGCACGTAACCGCCGCTTCCCAGGCACTGCCACTGACGCACGCCGGTGTGCTCCTCCAGCTCGACGCACCACCAGAGGACCTCCTTGGCCTTGTCGACCTGTCCGCTCTCCTCGTGGGCGCGGGCGAGGGCGAACCAGGCCTCGGCGTCGTTCCAAGCGGTGCCCAGCTTCGTCAGGGACGTCAAGAGTCCGTAGGCGCGGTCGCGCGAGGCGAGGCGGTCGATGATGGGCACCGAGGTCGCCTTGTACGGGGCCGGCAGCTTCTCGTCGGACTCGGCCTTGTCCGATGACCTGATGGACGATGCGGTGGTTGCTGAGTGTTGCGCGCTGGTCTTGCTGAAGCCGGAGCCCGACGCGCCGGAGCCCAGTCCGAGGGGCTCCGACGGGAGGCCGTGCTGAGGAACCGAGATCTTGGGCAGATGGGGAGTCGGGAGCGAGAGGCTTGAGATGTTCTCTGGTACGCTGAGGGCGGGGATGGCCGGGGGCGGTAGGACATTCTCGGTGTAGATGTCGAGAAGAATGTTGGACAGGCCCACGATGGCCACAGAGTGGTCTGGGAAGTGGGTGATGGCCATTTCGAAGTCTGACCTGGCGGTGTATGGCACTCCCTTGGCCAAGGACAGACATCCCAACTGTGCATTTTGTTAGCTACTGGACAATGCATCTCACAAACAGCAGAACTCACCTCGGCCCAAACGTCACCCAGGAGTTCGTCGACTCCCTTCTTTTCTGCCCAGCCGTCGCCCTTCAACGACAGGGAACCGGTCGGGTCCTTGGCAACTTCGGCCTCGAGCATACCGACAAGTTTCTGGGCCTCCGAGATGGCCCCCTTGGCGTCCTCGAACATGCTGGCCCGACGGTAGAATCCCGCAATCATCAGCCACACCTTGACGAGAAGAGTGGCCCTCTGTCTCCGTTCGAGGTCCTGTGGGAAGTGTATTAATGGCAAAGGATTTGAAATTGTGTAGGTACCGCTGGCGGAGATTTCTGAAAAGTTGGTTGATCTCGACATCTGAGAGGTGTAGGACTCCAAGTGGTGGAGTGACCGACCTCGAGAGACCGATGATGCTGCTGAGGCCTGGCGAATGCCGAGCGGGAATTCGTTTTGTTGCAACTCGTCCCCTGGGGTGAAGTAAACCTCACCGTCCAAGACAGTCGGCCCGTGAGGGTTTGTGGGGTTTGTGCTAGCGCTACTAACACTCGCTGCTCTCTTACGAGTGCCGCTGCTGTCTCGCTTCCGAAGGCTGTGCCTCTTCCCGGATTCGCTTCTTCCTCGGCGCGTCACACTGGAGAGTCTCCGTGATCGCTTCTCTACGGGCGACCCGTTCTCCTGAGTAACCTGAATGGTCGGCGCCATGCTTGCAGAGGTTTGTGTAGTTTGTGGGCGAGACTGGGTGGCCGTCCTCTCCGTCTCCGCGATACTCGCCCGCCTCGCTCGTTGGGAGCCAAATATGCTACCTCTGATACTTCTCAGAGTACCAGCTGAGCTTTTCGGAGGCATCATTGTGTCCATGGTCTTCGGAGGTTGCATGGTAGACTTGGTTTCGAGGTTTCCGAATAGCCTGTTAAACAGCGAAAGCAATTCAGAGCTTGCGTTGACGGCGACATCCGGACCCTCAAGGAGCTCAACGAGCGCGAGTTGTGTCATCTTCACCTCAAGAATGCTTTCTCTCTCGGTATCGTCCATGTCGTCAACAACGCCCTTGCGCTCATTGGCGACCTTTTCGTCTTGCGCCTCGGCGTCGTTCAGGTGCTCGCTCTTGAAGTGCAGGTCTTGCCTACCGAACAGGACGGAGGGATCCCTGAACTGCTCGAATGCCCCCTCGCAGGCCTTAGCAGCCATGCTGTACTCTTGCCTTGCGCTCAGAAGCAATGCCAACAGATGCCAAAGAGGAATGAGTGACCGTTCCTGCCAATAGGGGCCGTGGTAGAGAGCATAGTCCTCGTCCGACTTGTTGGAGATCAATGCCGTCTTGACAATATCGATCGCATGTGTCAGGTCTCTTCGCTCAGCCAGAAGAAGACCAAGGGCAAACAAGCTGCGCACATCTCTGGTCCGGCCCAGTTCTGGAGACAAGGAAGTCCTCAAACATTTGATCGCCCTCGCTTGAATTTCATTCCTGGACCCCGCGTCATATGTGATTCGCGACCAGTGAGCCTGAGAGAGGCCAATTGCTTGCCAAGACAGCGCAATGAGATGGGGCTTGATTTTGGGGTGAATGATAGCCGCGTCCCCTTCTTCGGGGACCGTGTTCTCGTTGCCGATGCCATTCTTCAGCTGTGGCAGCCTTGACAGCCAATCTTCGAGCTCGTTGCCAATATCATGAGCCTTCTCGATGGCCTCCCTTCCACCATAGCGGCAAAGCGCCAGAATGCATTGCGACATCGTCTCCAGCACGGTACCGTCATCATCGAGGTTTGCCTCGATGTGATGGGTCTTCTCAACTCGAGCCTTGCCGTGCCTAACCAGATCGAGGTAGGAGTCGAACGCTTTGAAGGCAAGATCAAACTCCGCCACGGCCAAGTGGACTGTAAAGAGGCAGCGAAGAACAGCGGTAGAGTGGTAGGTCTTTGTCGCCGCGGCGTACAAAGTGTCGAGGACGCCTCTGCTGAGACTCTCTCGGCCACCCTGGCCCAGATCTTGTTCTTTCCAACCTCGTCCACAGAGAATAGACCAGTTCTTCACCACGGCTCTGACGAACGCTTCGACCTCCTCCCTCGTCTCGTGTGCTTTCGGAAAGGCGGTTTCGCTGATGAGGAGCGCTTCGTACGCGGCTTCTGTTTTCTTGAGCTCAACTCTCAACTGGTTCCTCGCCGAGCTCTCGTTCGTGATCTTGCCAAGGAAGCCTGTAGGAAACGGCAGGTCCAACTCGAGGATGGTCGTGAGTGCCAGGTAGTACTCCAGCCAGACCTGTCGCCTTGGCACAGACCCCCTATACCCGTATCCTCCCGTCACGGGCCCCGTCAACGACTCCCAGTATCTGGCCCACGTTCGGAAGCAGGCGAGTGAATTAGAATCCTCCAGCGACCTCTGATTCGAGCGAAGAGCTTCGCTGTGCAGCACGCAGTACTCCGTCAGAAACAGCTCAGACCAAACCCTGAACTGCTTGTGAGCGTTGCGGGTCGCCGAAGGCATGGACACGGTGGGCAATGCGGAATCGAACACAACGAGGGCCTCGATAATGTCATTGTTCCGCGACAGACAGTTGGCCTTGATAAAGGCAGCTTTCAAGGCGCTGATGTGAGTCCATTCGGACAGCTTCTCGGTCGAGTCGCCCAGCTCCTGCTCGAGGCCCTGAGGCAGCTTAGCAGCAGCCTGGTCGAACTCGCCCACCACCCAATGCAGCAGACCAGCACAGACCCGAGCCTGGTACTTTTCCTCTGGGAACTTCGTCTCTCCGTCGATGGCGCCTTGGAGCTTGGTTATTACGTTCGCAGCGTCGAGGTCTTTCGCCGATACAGCAGTCGCCGGTCTGCCAGCGCCCGAGGGGTCGGTGGCCTTTGCGATTGCGCACTCCGTCTCGGCCGTCAAAGTTAGGCCTAAAGAGCGCTGTGTGTCAGTCACAATTCATCTGCGAATGTTCGTGTTCGAGGGGACGGACAGGTTCGGTCTGGCGCATGCTTCCTGACCTTGCGGACAAACTCAGGAACGGCGCTCCAATTGCCGTCGCATCTCGCATCGTCGAGGGCCTTGATGTAGTGGGCGGCCTTGTTCGGGTCGGGCTGCAGCAAACAAACAGAAAACGTATGGTCAGTCCAGGTCCAACTCACTTCGACGTCATGGGTGCGGGCGGTCTGGTCCCTGGGAAAAAGGCACACTCACAGCCATTTCGCGATGCCGAAGTCGATGCCAGTATTTGGAGAGAAATGCAAACAGGTTCTACTAGCACGGCATCTGGGCATACGGCATGTTCTGTTGGAAAGAAGGAAAAAAAGGCCAAGGGGGTGGACGGTGAATGGTGATGTTCGGGACCCGAGAATGGCTTAATTAGGAGAAAGCACGTTGCACAAGCGATTGGAGCGAACGCGATCCAATTGACACGCTTCCTTGTATTTTGGCGGTGCTGCTGGTTCTGCTGCTGGTGCTGGTGCTGCCAACACATGCGCTATCCAATGCTGGGCGGCAGAAAAAGGGACGGTCGGTGAAGTGGGCTGGACCTTGGAGGTCCCTTGGGTTGGGGCAGCACGGGCCAGCCGCCAGACGAGCGGGACGATGATCAGGGGAGAGCCAACTTGCCAACGGCGGCTTGTGCCGGTATCTTTGTGCCTTTGTTCACGTCCGTGCTTTACGGTTACATAATCGACGAGCTGGAGTCGACGAGTCCAATCAGATGAAAGCAATGCTGGAGCTTGGCGGTACATGCGAGATGTACCTTTCACTTACAGAAAAAAAAAGTTTCACTCAGCATCAACCGCCTGTGAAACACAGGCTGAGATCGAAAATATCGACAGTTATCTCGCATCACCGGTCTTCAATTACGGCTGAAAGATATCAATTGGCTCATTTGGTCAGTAAAGTATACGAATTTTGCCAGAATGTCTCTCCCTCCCGATCTGAGGGTGCTCTGCCGCCGCCTGACTTCGACACCACCGGCCCAGCTGCCTCACTCCATCCCGGCCTTCATCAACCATGTCCTCCGCTGCAAGGACGTTCTCTCTGCGCCTCAAGACCAAAAGTCGAAAGACAACAATGCTGCAGAGATAGCCGCTCTGGTCCACAAGCTGAGGACGATCATCACGACTCTTTTGAACGGCAAGAGCGCCATGGGTCGTTTTACCGGCGCAACCCTCGTCAAGGCTGTTGTTGATGTTGGTGGATGGGAATGTCTCAAGGAATCTGGAAACTGGGTTCGCGCTCTCCTTGCCATGATCCAAGTAAGTGAAAGGACACTCATTCGATAATCTCAGTGACTGACAAGAGGCAGAAAAATGACCCGTTCCCCGTGAAAGAGATTGCTGTTGTCACTCTCGTGAGGATATACACTCTTGTTCATGAATATCAGACTCTCACCAGAGAGATCTCAACGCCCACCATCCCGACCTTCTTCAATGCGTGCCTTCAACTGATCAAGCTTCCTACGACGGGTGAGCGCCTGAAGACTCCCCTCGTCGTCGTGGAGACTATTCTCGACGCATTTGCCACTCTCATCCCCTTATACCCAACCACCTGCCGCCCCTTCAACGGCCAGATCAAGACCGCTATCAAACCGTACCTCGCACCAACCTCTTCGGATGGCGTCACAATCCCCCAGTCCCTTCGTCGCGCCAGCAGACACCTCGCTCTCTCGCTCCACTACACCACCGCCGGCAAGACAGGCCCGACCGACGACTGGAACAAGCTCGTTGAGGAGATCAGGAAGGGCTTCCACTCGACCGCCGACCAGGTCTTCCGCGCGGTGCAGGAGTCGTGGGAGTCTACAGCGGCGTACACCCGCTCCAAGGTCGACTTCGACGCGCCCCCGCAAGGAGCCGACGCCGCGGACCAATTGCCCCCTTGGACGGGAATCTCTGCCGGTCGCGACAGACTGGTCGGCCTGCTCCAGTACCTGGCCGACGCACTTCGCTACCCCACAAAGTCCGCCGTCACCGTCCCCGTCGGTGCGTTGATGGACGTCGTGTCCCGCGTCTCGTTGATCAGCCGCAACTCCAAGTCCCAGTCATGGGACCAGGCGCTGGAAACCCAAGCCGCGGTGGGGAGAGAAGAGAAGGAGGAGCTCTGGGCCGCGATGCCCGATATCCACATCGCGGCTCTGGATCTCCTCTTGGTCCTCGTCCAAAGACTCGACCATAACTCGCTCTCCCTCGCCCCCGAGATCTACGACAACCTACTCCTCGTCTTCCGCTCCGGCATCAACATCCCATCCGTGCGCCTCGGCGCGTACAGGCTCCTCAACGAGACCCTGCCGATCTGCGGCCCAGGCCTGCAGAAGCTCACCGTCGAGACCATCAGCATCGTCATCCTCGCCTGCTGCCGCGACATCCAGCAGGAGACGGGCCACGTCAAGGAGACAAAACCCGCCACCACCAAGACCGCGGCCGAGACCAAGAAGAACGGCATCGCCGCCAACGCGGACCTCTTCCTCCCCTCGCAGACCTCATCCTCCGACACCCAGTCCGCCGCCGCGGCGCGACCCGTCCTGTCCGCGGACCACCTCGAGGCCGCCGAGACCCTCCTCGCCGGCCTCCTCTCCCACCTGCCCCAGCGCCACCTCAAGCCCGGCCTGCGCGGCCTCCTCGACCAGACGGCCGTCCTCTCCCGCAACAAGGCCGCCATGCTCGCCAGCGTCCTCAACCCCTACGTCAACCGGGCCGGCGCCATGTACCCCAGCATCCTGCCGTACCTCGCGCAGCAGTACCCGCACGACCGGGGCGTCGAGGTCCTGCGCTCCAACATCCGCACCTCGACGCAGGCGCCCTCGCCGGCCGACGACTTCGGCCGCGACGCCAACGCCACGCTCCAGGAGCTCGAGGCCGAGCAGGCGGCCAAGGACGGCGAGGACGAGATCGCGTCCGAGATCGAGGTCGCCGCGCAGGACGAGGAGATGACGGAGGCGGACGCTGTCGACGGGGCCCCGGCGGATACCATCGTCGTGGCCAACGACGACAACGACGTCGGTGACCCGTTCAAGGCCTCGAAAGGGGGCGAGGCGGGCTCCGTCGAGGTCGCGAACCCCTTCGCCGTGACGTCTTCTCCGCAGAAGCGCAAGCACGACGACGGCGACGCGAGCACCCCGAAGAGGCAGAGCGTGGAGAGGAAAACCGAACGCGTCGTCGTTCCCGAACCAGTCGCGCAGCCCATACAAGAGACTGCCGACGACGACGATGACAGCGACGACGAGAGCGTTCATCTGAATATGGATCTAGACGAGGACGAGGAGGACGAAGAATAAGAGACGCGACTCGGGCTATTTCAGTGTAGATGGACTTTGATACCCCCCTAGGGAACCTTCCGGCCGGCTTGTTGAGCCTTTAGTTTAGTATAAGATTGTGCGAGTCCCCACGACTGTTTGTGTGTGGTCTAAGCTGTATTCTGTACACGATGCTGCGGAAAAAAGTGCAGTATCCAGGGCCACGCGGCCGACGACTATTCTGACATGTATGTAGAGTTAATGTTCCCGCGGAAGAAACGGGTTCGAATCGCAAAGTGCAGAGCCCCCCCAAAGGCATCCCGTCGATGGCCTTCTCGCAACGCCGCCGAGTGAAGAAAGACATCTCCACAGGCCCCAACCGAATTGAGCCAAATTCTTTTTCGAAAAAAATGCCAAAGCGCAAATCAAGACCGTATCAACCATAACCCACTCAATCTCTCAGCCAAGCCCTGCGCTTCTCCTCCTTCCTCGCGCGCCGCTTCTCCTTGAACTGCTTCAGCTCCTGCTTGGACGGCTTCTTGCCGCTGCGCTCGGCCTTGAGGCTGCGCCCGTCGTGCGAGTTCGCCGCGGCGTCGACGTCGAAGAAGGCGTTCATCTGCCGCCTGCTCTTGGCCTCGTCCGTGTGCCGCCCGGGGTCGTCGCCGGGGGCCTGGAACTGGCCCGTGAAACGGTTGAACTGGGCGACGGCGCCGTAGCCCTGCTCCGCGAGCGCGGCGGCCTGCTGCGCCGCCTCGTCGCCCTCGTCCGGCTTGTCTGCCTGCGCGTACCACGCGGTCGGGTCGTAGTCGCCGTGGATGGCGGGGTTGTAGCCGCCCGCGGCGGGCCGGTCGTTCGAGGGGAGAGGAGGAGGACCGGAGGGCAGCGGTGCCGACGTCGCCGCGTCTGTGCCGGGCGCTGCTGCTGCGGTTGTGGTGGTTGTGGTTGAAGTCGAGGCTGCTGACGCTACGCGCGGGTTCTCCCACTGTGTCGCGCCGGTGAAGCGGTTGTAGAAGAAGTAAGCCTGGGAGGTGGCATCCCACTGGAAGTCCCAGCCGTCGTCTTCCGTCGCGGGAGGCGGTCCTGATGGTAACGGAGGTGCTTCGTTGGGGAGAGGGGGCGCATCTGAGGCAGGCGCGGGGGACGCGCTCTCGCTGGCCTCGCCGGACTCTTCGGAGCTCGAAGCGTCGCCGTCGGCGTCGCCGTCGGCGTCGTGGTCGCGGGGTTCGTCTGTGGGCGCAGAGCTCGGCTCTCGCGATTGCTTCTCGTCTGCCGTCGGCGTATCGGCAGGCCTGCTCTGCTCGGGTTCAGCCTCGGGCGGGGAGGAGGAGGCGGCGGCGGGTCGCGGTCGCGGGTCGTCGGACGGCATGGTTTCAAAGGGAGATGGAATGCAGGGTTTAATTCGATGGTGCGTCGCGAAGGTAAGTCAGTTGTCTGTCACCGAGTAACGAGAGTCTGTCGACCTGGCCCGGCCCTCATCGCTTGGAATGAGGGATTGTTGAAAATCGGACAGGCGGCTTTTGGGGGGTAGAAGAGGCTGAGTTGAAGAGAGAAGGAAAAGGCACGTCGAAGACCCAGAGTGCTCGGATGAGTGCATCACCTGAAATTTGGTTACAAGGAAGACGCCGCCGCCGATGGTCCGCAGCCGCAGGATGACGGTGGTTCCAACCAAGGTTCTAGTTCGACCAGGGGGCCTCATCGTGCACGGTCCACTCATCGTGAGGGTACCGTGTGATTTGTGAGGCGCTGAGTCTCTGCACACGGCGTGGAGTCGGCCGTCAGAACCTAGTCCCAAAATAACATTGGATTGGCCAGAACCTGCAAAGACACACTCAAAATGCCATGGCCGAGTCCGAAGCAGCCAGTGGCAAGACGGGAAGTGGACGTGGATTCGAGGCCAGCGGCGGATGAAGTGGGAGTGGCATGCAGCAATATGGCACCACGAAAAGGAATCCCTCATGGGAAACAGATAATGAGGGTCCCCCCGTACCGTGTACCGGGCTTCAGACCAAATCACTGGTCGGAACCTGATGGAAGGCAACGGAGGCAGGTCCGGTTCAGGTCCTGAGGGATGTGAGAATGCCCTACCCATCTCTCACCTCCAGAGCTGAACTACCCTTTTTTCCCTCTCTTATTTGCCAAAAAAAAAAAACTAGAGCTTTCATTACTCGCGTTTCTCTCTTTCTATCCACTTGTTATCTCTTCCATCATACATTTCACCATCCATACACGAGTTTGCCACCGACCGTTGAGCTTCTGCCACAAAGCTCCATCTCCATCTCCGTCTCCGACCCCGTCTCACCGTCTTCCCCTTCACCTGTCCGCCCACCCTGCTGCCGTACCCGCGTCGTCCGCACCGTTGATGGCCTCGAGCGGGGAGTCGCAGCCTTCTGTCCCCGTCGGATCGTCCCCTCAAATGTCGACGTCTGTCAAAAATCCTTCTTCTGTATCACCCGCCCTGTCCTCGTCCCCACGATACATGGACGATTGTCTGCCCTTTGTTGTTGCTGCTCAGCCCCTCGGTTATTATGCTGCCTCCCCTCATGCTCAATACCCCTCTTTTCCAGCCCATCACGACGACTGAAGCCCGTTTTGGACCATTGGACAAGACTGCTCCGTCGTGACCTTGTTCATCAACCGCACGGCACTACTGTTTTAGCAGAAAGTCGGGTTGTACGAGCTGTGTTGCATTCAATGCAACACTTGGCCAACAATGCCTGATCAGTCCTTCCGCCGTTTGCTCCCTGCCCCCAAATCTGGATTGCCCCCCGTATCTCGTGTTCTGCCGCCCACTTCCAAAAAGCGTTCAGAAGCTCTCACCAAGGTAGCCTGCGAACGTTGTCGTTTCAAGAAAAAACGTGTAAGCGCCGGCTGTCTTTCCCACACTGACTCACTGAGGACTGACATGTGTGTTCCCAGTGCGATGGCAAACGACCGAAATGCACCTCCTGCGTCGACCTCGACGTAGACTGCAAATATGAGAGTATCGACGAGAAGGAGACGCCTGTTATGGCTCTCAAGCGCGGCAATCAGGACCTCAAGCGCGAGAACGAAGAACTCAAGAGCGAGAACGAGCAAATCAAACGCGACTTGGAAGCTTTGCGGGCACTGTTCCCTCGGTCCTTCTTTGCTCAGCATGATTCGTTGTCTCCGGAAGCGAAGGCTCTGGCGTTCAAAGAGTTCCGCTTCGCGACTGACCCGAACGTTGCTCTTCGGTCCGTTATACCCTCAGGACCGGCCCCTCAACAATTCGTCCCTCAGCTTCGTACAAACTACGAATTCCAGCTCCACAGAGACTATCCTGTGGCGTATCCCCTTCTGGGACAGGGCCAACGGTTCGCCAGCCCGGAAAGCACAGACTCGAGACCGTCCAAAAGAAGCCGCATAACGGACGTGTCCGACTCGGAGTCATCGTCCCCAGAACCAAGCTCGATATTTAGCCATGGCTCCGTCGCCGGATCTTCTTCAGGAGATGCGACGAACGAGTCCATGTTGCTGCGCTCGAGCATCTCTAGCGTCTTTCCGGCCGAGCCCGTTCAGTCACCTATCCAGACAGATCCGCGCTTGTTAAACCTTGATATCGAATACTGGACCGTAGTCTCCATACCGAGTGATCATGCTGCGAAGGCCATCACACTCTACCTCGAGACAGATCATGCCATGCTGGGCTTATTCGACACCGAGCTGTTCATACATGACCTCACTCACTATCAACATCGCTTTTGTTCTCCACTGCTAGTCTGCGCTCTTCTTGCATTCGCCTGTGTCAGTCACGACTCCTTCCCGTGGACGTAGATGATGATAGCTGACTTGACCCAGCAAGCCTATGCCACGTATCATCCGTCGGCATCTGGTTGGAGTCACGAATTGGAAGCAGAAGCCGGCAGGCTATGGCGTGCAGATAGGGAAGACTCGCTGACGACAGTCGCGGCGTTGGCCTTTCTCATCCAGTCCGTCGGGTGCAATGGCAACGGCGCACTCGACGTCGAGTACATCAACGAGACAGCTGCCATGGCCCGACGTCTGAAACTCTTTGGGACCTCCGACGCGTCGACCTCGGAAGACCTCAAGGATCTCTCCGAGGAAGACGCCAGGGGGAAAGCCAAGGTTGCCTGGGGTGTCTTCTGCACTCTGAGGTGAGTACCGCAGAGGACGACCCGTAGGGTGAGAGAGTTCCCTAATACTGGGAATAGCATGGTAGCCCAATTCTTCCTACCAGCTACCACTGAGTACCCGCCAAATCTGCCCATCCCGGGGAAGGATGTCAAGGGACTGCAAAATGAAAGTGCGCCCCGTAGCCATGGCAATGATGCTCCGTCTGGGACATCTTCCCGGAGGAAAAGAGTCGCGGCATCACCCTTTTCCGAAACCTTCGCAGCATTCTGCGAGCTCTGGGTGATTTCGTCCCGCCTGACGTGGTACTACCAGCATGAAGGACCCGGACGTGCCTCGAGGGCATTTGCCATCGAGAAATACTACAAGCTCTTAACCTGGGCTGCCAATCTGCCCGAGAGCCTCGTCCGTAGCAAGCATAGCCCCAGCTACGTGCTCAATCTTCAGTACGTTGGATCGCCCCCCAACCCCAACCCCCGAATCGTGATCCTCACACCCTCTGCAGCATGTGGTTCCACGGCACCGTCCTCTACCTCTTCAGGCCCTTCATCCCCATCGACAAGCAGCACGGCTTCAAGTCCTGGACGCCCTCCGCCGCCCAGGTCCCCGCCATCTTCGCCGCGTCCCTCGAGCAGCTCAAGGACCTGGTCGACGTCTACATGTCGCTCCCGTCGCGCACCAACTCGATCCTCTGGCACACGGCGCTCATGCACGTGGCCAACGCCGCGGCCATCGTCTCGAGCGACCCGGAGTGGCGCCACCACTTCCTCAAGTGCATCTTCGCCTACCTCGGCCTCTACCGCTCCTTCACCGTCGCCGGCGTCATCGCCAAGGGCCTCGTCGCCATGGCCGTCAAGAGGGGCGCCCTCGACAACACCGAGGGCCGGTACCTGCTGCAGGAGCTGAAGGCGACCAAGAACCAGCGGGCGCTCGAGACCGCGACGGGGTTCTTCGTGACGGACTTTGATCTGGCGGTCATCGATCCCAAGGCCGCCACGGCGAATACGCTGATTAGGGAGTTTGACGACCTGAGTCTGCTGGACGAGTTCACTGTGGGAGTTGTCTGAGGAGGAAGAGCGGATTATGAGGATCCTGATCTATTCACGACTGAAGTAAGATAGCTGATGATGCCCGGAGCGTATTGGGCTGGGTTCTCCGGGTTCCTTCTCCCGGCTCGGTTGCCCGCAGGTGGCTCAAACAACCCTGATGACCAAACAAACAAACGAATAAATGAATCACAATTCCCCAACGCCTGCCCATCCGGGCCTTCTTGCACTCGGTGCTCGCTGCCTCCTTTCAACACATCGTCGCCGTCCCATTTGGTGCAGTGGTTTAGCATGTCGCGCTTTCGCCGCGGAGACACGAGTTCGAACGTCGTAGTGGGAAATCTTTTGTTTTTGGGGCTTGCGCTGCCTTTTTGGTGTATGTAGGAAGGATCTGGGCGTCTGTTTGAAGGCATAGTGGGGTTTAGATGGCGCTGGAGGTACTTTTTGGAATCGTTTCTGCGTCTTTGCTGAAGAGTGAGGCTGTATGTAAGAACCGTCCATCGGGTTAGTGTATGCTTCAACTTCCTGGCTGATGGTTGTTTGTTGTTTCGTCCGATGCCAGCGATACTTGACCTTAGCCAGCGTAGCCCTCTGCTCGGGGAAACTAGCTCACTTCACCATAAGTATTACGCTCAGGAGTTGCGTGTGTAGGCGGCCTGGTTGAGGTGAAGTGCCTAATCAGTGGTTAGCCCACCCTCATGCTTGCTATTGGGAGTGCTAGCCTACCTAGTGCGGCCAACAGTATATATAGTACTCCATGTTTTCCATTCATAGAGCGAACTTCGAGAGCTGCTGATATCAGACCACCGCGATCCTACCGTGACGCTTCTACATCCACGTATCTCGTCACGAACTCTTATTTCCCCCTCACTTTTCTGTTCATGAGCCCTGCGAGCTCGACAGATCGCCGCTCACGAATACAACCAACACGGCGGCATATCTAATCTCACGTTAGAAAGGTGTATCCCTCTTGGGTCAAGATATGACTTACGCTGCTGTTCCGGCAAAGATCTCCGCCCTCCGCGCGTTCGTCATCAGTCCGACGCTGAGTGCGAACAGGGCCGTGAAAAAAGCGATCAGGCCGAGTTTGGCCGCGTCGTTTCGCACGAAGTAGAGCCCCGTGATGGAGCCTACTAGGAGGATCGCGGCTACGAGTATGCTGATGAAGGCGACTGCGATAGAAATCGAAGATTCTGCGTAGCGTCCTATGGTGACGCCGTCGCAATGAGTATCTTTCTAGATAGACGTTACTCGACTTGAAAGCTTCATGTTTGAGTTGGGGGGCTCACATCTACAGGCCAGTTCCGCCTGAGATACTCCGATAGGTAGTCGGTTTCTTGTGCCGGGTTCAGGGCGACAAGATCATCGGGGTTGTTGAGGAAGTTTTGTGCTTTTCCGAATAATCTGGGCATCCCCGTGAACCATGCCCTGAAGGCTTCTAGGACTCGTTTGTTTGGTTTCCTTAGTCTGGCGACCTCGCTTTGACGTAGTAATGCTTTTTCTGAGCAATGAGGATTAGGCGAGATACACATTCGAGAGTAAGAACAGAACTCACGATATACTTCTAGTTTTTGGCGTATCTTTTCGACTAGTTCCATACGACGTTTTGCTTTGGACGCCGAAGATTCTGGTATTGTCTGTTTTTCGCCTTGACCTCTACCCGTCGCAAGCTTGTCGAGCTTTTCCCAAGTGATCACAACTTCTTGCCAGTCCATGTCCTCGTCTTCAGCATCTTGTTTGTCGAGTTCGCTCAACTCATTTTCTAGATCGAGTAGCTCCGACTGGAGATATAATAGATTCCGAGCGGCCAGCTCATCGAAACGGCGATATATCAGCGTCTCGTTGTCGACATCACGTGCCATCCACTCCGCGACTTCGGCGTATCCTATCTTTTGGGTCATACTCTCCCCATCTGATGAAGGCACGAGAAGTTATGTGGTTACGCATTGAGCCAGTTTAAGGTACGTTCGGGTATGAACTTGAAAATAACATGAAGACTGTTTGAGTTTGACTTGACGAACAGCTTCGTTGAGCTGGAGCACTCCGAAAAAGATTACCTTACTCGGGATGTGTCCTGCCACTCGAGGGATTCGGTGGAAGAAGCTGTCTACTCATTCAGAGTCGGGGAGGAGAGTTGACGAATCAAGATATAGGGCTGCATCTGCTGACGGTAGCTGCCTGACGCAAGCCAAGGTGAGGCTGCGCAGCCAATTAAGTCCCCTTCTTTGATGCGCGTTTCTTACGAAGAGCTGTCCGCCCTGCAGTCAGCCCCGGAGGCAGTCTCACCGACCCCGCTTCTGCTCAATTCCTTGTGAGCGGCAGGCGTTTCGCTTTCTCTACCACTTTGCACCATCGTGGGATGTCTCAATTGGTTCTCGCGCTTCATCCAAGAAGCATGGTCAGCATGCTCTTTACCAATCAATCAGTAGGGCGGCCCCTGAGCACCCCAGTCCCATCTAGCTATTTACTGCCAGCCTGATGTTACGTCCAATAAATAGACGAGGAAACCCGCCATTTACGTCTGACCAACTTATTCCAACGTCTTTACTTTCCCATCTAGATTCCCTCTCATTCATTTCGCATGAGCACTCGCTCGTCTTAATTCCTCAAACGAACAAGTACTGGCTATGGCTGATCCGGAAGCCTACACCGTCGGTTGGATCTGCGCCCTTCCCACCGAGTTCGACGCGGCACAAGCCTTACTTGATGAGAAACATGAGGACTGTCCCTCCCTCGCCCCAAACGATCATAATGATTACGCCCTAGGTACGATTGGGACGCATAATGTCGTTATTACTGTCTTACCCGATGGTACAAATACCTGGGCGACTGTGGTTCGAGACATGATGTATAGCTTTCCGAATGTGCGATTGCGACTTATGGCCGGGGGTAGCGCACCCACCTCAAGACATGATGTGCGACTTGGTGATGTTGTTGTTAGTGGCCGCGATGGAGGCAAAGGTGGCATCATCCAGTACGACTTCGGGAAGGAAACTGATAGCACGACCGCCGAACGCATGGAAACTGAACGCTCGAACGCTGGACGTCTCGCTGCTGCTCGTCGGCCCATGATCCAGTCTCATGTGGCCAGTCTACAGCGAAATATGGCACCAAGAAAGGTCCAATACTCCTCCGGCACGACAGAATACACGGTACAAGGAAACGTGAACGGAGTTAATGTGGCAGCTCTACCAGACACTGGTTCGGATGAGTGCATGATTTCTTCCAGCCTCGCATCCAAGCTGGGCCACCAACCGAACCCTGGGACCGAGAGAATGATCACGCTTGCGAACAAGAAAAGGATTCATTCACCGGGAATGGTGGAAGTCATCTGGAAGTTTGGTCAAGAGTCGATACCACACAAGTTGAAGTGTTGGATGTTGCCCACCTGCTCCAATGATCTCATCCTAGGGAGCCGGTTCTTGGAGACAACGAAGACCCTCACGTCATTCTTGCATCGAGTACAGAAACGTCTCATACCGAGAAGACTACGGCTGAGACTACTCGGTCAAGTGAAGAAACGCTTGATGGGCATCCTCAACGGTCGCAATACGACAGCCCTTGCGGACACAGGCTCTGATCTGATGCTGGTTTCCGCAGAGTACGCTCGACTCTATGGCTTATTCGTATCTTCCGGGAGAGAAGATCGGGTCGAGGTGGAGCTTGCAGACGGCACGAGAACCTGGACGAGCGGCATCGTTCGCGATGCGACGTGGACATTGGGAGATCTGACAGTTCAGTGTGACTTCCACGTTCTGGAGGATCTGTCTGTGGACGTTATATTGAGCAAGGACTACATCTTCGAGTTGGAGGTATTCTCGAAACACGGAGAGTTGTTCTTCGATATGGACTTGATGGAAGAACTTTCTCTCCTTTGTGGTGTGCGTCTGGTAGACGAGGAGGCTTACGATCTGGACGCACTGGAGGGAGAATTCATGCGAGATGGTATGTGAAATCCGCCATAAGCAAGTCTACTTCGGCTAACAGCTTTCACAGTTACTTCGGAAGACGCCTTCAGTTTTGAGAAGATTCGGCGGGAACGAGTGAGGAGGATGATGGCCAGCAAACGGATTGCGAAGTTGCCTGCAAATCAGCGGCAAACTGCGGAAAATTTCGAGCGGAGCAAATCGGAAAGTTGGGATAGAGCAAGGAAACAACATAAGGAGCTATGGAATCGAGATCCAAAACCTCGGCACGGCTGTGCTGACCCTCATAGTAGCTCGTCAAGTTCTGGGTTAGCCTCGTCAAGCAACGCCAAGCCGACGAAAGCTGATGTGCAAGAAGGAAGACCAGATCCATAGGCGCGATACAAGCTAGTAGTCTTCGAGGTGGGTTTGAGGGAGAATTGAAGATATTTGGAAACCCGCCAGCTGAGAACTGTCTCTCACTGTGACTTCATATTGTCTTGAATCGCCACAGCGGATGGAAGGCTTCCATTGCGACACTGCAGTGAGACTTCGTAAACCACAATCAACCGCGATGAATTTCTGTAAAGGAAAGTCGTTTTCCTGGCCATTGATTGTATAGGTAAGTAACGAATTTCTGGTTAGTCCATTGATGACAGAGAACCGATTTCGCAGGGCGATCATGTCAGAGGCGAAGCAGACAAATTGGATGCATTTGAGTCGACTTGAGAGAACAGAAAGAACTCGGTCTTTCAACTAGAATATTATGAGTCTGAACCAAGACAGATTTCAGTCTAACGCCTTGATCATGGAGTGCCATGGTGGTCGCAGCCCTATGAGGCCAGGAGCTGGTGTAAGTCGTTCATTTGAGTTGACAGGGGTGTGTGTTCAGCATCCATGTCTTCCCCATTGTTTTCGCTTATGTAACGTGCCTTAGGCCAGAGGTGCACCGACCTCATGAAAAATAGCAGCGTCGGATCCTCTTGTTTACATCTTTCATCACACACGACATCGGCCCTTCAAAGATGGCGTTGCAGAACACGGTCTTGAGGTATTACCGCACAGCCTCTAAACACAATCGCAGGCCTCCCGTTGTAACCAGAAATAGCTCGCAAGACACCCGAGCCACGGTCCCCGTTACCCGCCGCCTAGAAGTCTAGGGCGCCACGGCACAATTCAGGAGACGACGCTAAAAGCAAATGAGCGACGGCTACCGGATGCGGACATTCTTGTTGACTTTGCCCATCAACAAATCGCACCATTCTCTGGCCAAGTCTTATCGTTCCTCTGCACACCATGCCTTCGGCCCGGGATCCTCTCTGCCCAGTCATCTTGAATGCTACGTGTGGTTCTCGTGGTGCAGCTACAGCTCCCGCTCGTGCTAGGCTGGAACTCTACGCAGCATTTTCAAATCATGACGACCTAGTGGCGGCTAGCTAAGAAGATCTCATCGCTGGTTTCGTAGAGATCACGCTTAATCTCGCAGACTTACACCTTGAGGGATCCTTCCGTCAGGCTTATTTTGTTCGGGCGAAGGCGAGAGTCTGGCCGGCTAGCGGCTCGATGACACTTATTGGAAGGAAACCACTACGCACGATCGCGTCTCACATTCCGGTGCGCCGTTGCTTGGGAGCTTCCATTTCAGAGCAACAATACCTGGTTGAAGTGAGACGAGTTGTCACACTTGTTTTTAAACCATCCTATCCCCCTCGTATTCCTTCATCCCCTCATTGACAGAGCCGCAGCTTCAGCCACAACCCTACAATCAAGCAGCAGTCATGTTCTTCACACAATCATCGATTCTGGGCACTGCCCTCGCCCTTCTTCCTCTGGTCTCGGCCGACCATCCTGTCGTTCAGGATGATGCCTGCAACTGCTTCCTGACCAACACCTCGGAGAGTTACTTCAGCAACCACATTTTTTACGACTGGCGAAGCTTGAGCCAGTACGCCGGTGTCCCAGATGTTATCGACAACTACAACAACAGCGGTTCCGCACCGGTGACATCCGATTACTTCAAGTCCGACAAATGGACGTCGATATGGGCCATTCAGAGCTGGAACAACAGCAAAAGCCGAGGCCGGAGCGGCAATGATGCCACCGTCAGCATGGTCAATTCCCCCAACAACATTTACATCGAGAAGAACACCGACTCCAACCCGGGCTCGGATACCTACATGAGCTTCCGCACCGCGCGTCTCAAGGACTTCCAGACTTCTGCCGAGATCGAATCGGTCTCGATGGGCTACAAGTTCGTGTCTGTCCGCATGTTCGCCCGCACCATCGGTGATCCTGGTGCCTGCACGGCCCTCTTCACCTACCGTGAGGCAGAGAAATACGCCGACGTCCAGGAGGCCGACATCGAGATCCTGACCAAGGACCCCGACAACAGGATCCAGTACACGAACCAGCCGTCCTTCGATGACAGCGGCAACACCATCGACCAGTCAACTCAGAACGGCACTGCACCTGTCTCGTGGCGTGATTGGGCGGTTCACCGCCTCGACTGGGATGCCGAGCAGAGCACTTGGCTCGTTGACGGCAAGCAAGTCTCAGCCATCAAGTACCAGGTCCCTCGCGACCCCAGCCGCGTCATGATCAACTCTTGGAGTGACGGCGGCTCGTGGTCCGGCGTGATGGAGGTCGGCGGCTCTGCCGTCCTGCAAGTCCAGTGGCTCGAGATGGTCTTCAACACCACCGACTCTCCCACCACCGTCACGAAGCGCGGTGCCGTCAGCCAGCAGCATGGTCACGGCCCGCAAGGCCAGCTGGCGCGTCGTGACGGCAATGACCAGTGCCAGGTCGTGTGCAGTATCGACTCTGCCCACGACTTCGGTCAGGTTGTTATGCTGCACAACGGAAGTGCACCCGGACAGCTTCTTTCGCATTCCACGGCTCTGGTTTTCTGGCTGCCTGTATTCCTCATGTCGTCCGTGTTCTTCCACATGCTGTATTAATGAGTGCGTCTGTCTTTTTGGGGCAAAGCAAGGGGTTCAAAATTCTTCATACCTATGTACCATTCCCGTAATTACCTAACGAAGTCTACGATTTAATTCTCACACTACATCCTTTTCCCTCATTCGGCTCAGCTGAAGACTTGATTCATTGGTGTTAACTTCAGGACTAGGATTGGCAGTCAGAGCCAAGCTGTCAGCATTCAGAAGAGACGAAATAGCGAGCTCGACCCTTGCAGTTCCAGCACCATGACACTGTGACGTACCTTGTACAGTGGATCTCCCTTGCAGGAGCACCACCAAAAAGCCTCGGCCCCGATCGAGGGGTGGAACGAATTGGAGAGGCTCCTGCAAGCAGACCCTTGCTGCAGCTCAACCTCCCTCAACAAACTTCTTCAATCCCGTTGGAAACCAAAAACTTCGATCCTACCATCACAGCTCCCCCGCGATATTGCACGGCCCAAAGCAACAATGGCAGACGCAGTGAAGCCCCCGAAGCCGCGGCAGTCGCCCGTGAAGAATGGCTATTTGATCTTCTACAACTTCGTCTCCGCGATCGCCTGGTCCGTCGTCCTCGGCCGCACCGTTGCCCTCTACGCCCTCCGCGGCCCCGGATTCGTCCACCTCGGTGTCGGCGAGTGGACGAGATGGACGCAGACTCTGGCCGCCATGGAGGTCCTGCACGCGCTTGTCGGTACGAATCCCCTTCTACTCTAGCAAAATTGCGTCTCCAACTAACGATTCGCGTCTACAGGTGTCGTTCGCGCCCCCGTCTTCACGACCCTCATGCAGGTCCTTAGCCGCTTCGTCCTCGTCTGGGGCGTCGTCTACCCGTTCCCCTTCCTCGCCCGCAGCACCTGGTACTCCTCGATGCTCCTCGCCTGGAGCGTCACCGAGGTCATCCGCTACTCCTACTTCGCCCTCAACCTCAGCGGCTTCCAGCCCAGGCCCCTCGTCTGGCTGCGATACAACACCTTCTTCGTGCTCTACCCCATCGGCATCACGAGCGAGTGCGCCCTCATCTACTACTCGGCCGGCCCTGCCAAGGAGCTGGGAGAGATCTTCCCGTACATCGCCTACGGCATCCTCGCCGCCTACGTTCCCGGTAGGTCCAAGCTTGTTGCGGGGGTGTGGCAATGACACGGTCACTGACTTGGGATGATAGGCTCGTACATTCTGTACACTTACATGATGAAGCAGAGAAGGAAGGTCATGCGCAACATGAAGGCCGAGCAGGCGGGCATTTCGAAGACTCAGTAAATCTAGAAGACGGGAGGCTCAAAAAAGATACAGTGGGTATTCAGGGGGTTGCATGGTGGGTATGGATTTAGACAAAAACAGGTATCTAAGGATGCATCGTTGCTCCGGAGGCGCAACGTTCGTAATGATATAGATGAAAGAGATCCTTCTCGCGCATCAGGCAGTTGCGCTCTCGCCCGCCTCCTTGATGGCGAGCTTGTCCTCCGTGCTAGCCTCGTACCAGTCGTTCTTCGTCCACTGCGCGACCAAGGTAGTCGCATCCTGCTTCAGCTTCTCGAAACCCGGGTTCTGCTTCGCATCAAACATGTCTAGTACAGCGTCAGCATCTCGATCCCGACAGCAGGATTAGGCCACTTACTCATATGCGCCAGCGTCTCATCCGTCGCCATGTCGTTCACGGCATCTTGCCAGACCCCAGCATTGCCCTTCTTGGGCAGGTTGCAAAAAGTCCGATCCCTCCCCAGCACCGTCCCGACAACACTAACCTCCTTGTTCCCGGCCGCCTTTCCGAGCCGCGTGTACAAGTTGGCGAACCCCACCCCGAGCTCCTTGTTCAGCTTGACCATGTGCTGCACCCTCTTCTGCAGCTCCTGCCCCTTGGCCAAACACCCCACGAACTCGAGATGCGACGTCGCCCACGTCCATCCCTGGGTGATCTGCTCGCGGTTGTAGTACGCCGCACCCGCGCTCGCCGCAACAACCGCCGCGCTCCCGGCCGCCATCGCGATCTTGCCCCATCCCCAGCCGCCCTGCTGCTGCTCCTTCTTCTGCTGCGCGGGCGCCGCGGGCGCAGGCAGCGCCGCGACGGGCGCCCTGCTCCCCGGCGGAGGGGAGGCCGCCTGCTTCGCGCCCCACAGGGCCGTCCCGAGACCGCTGAGCTGCGTCATGGCGGCGGAAGCGGTCTGGTAGTGGCCCTCGGCGCCGTGGGCGACCACGCCCGGTGAGATGCCGAGGTAGGGGGTGTCGAAGGCGAGGACGCCCTGGATGTAGGGGAACATCAGGCCGTTGAAGGTGGACGGGTTGTCCGACTTCTCGACGCCGTCTTCCGAGTAGATCGGGTGCTCGGAGGTCAGCCCGATGGCCGTCTCCGCGGCGACGATACCGCCCATGGAGTGCCCGATCAGCACGATCCGGACGGAAGGGTCGACCGTCGGCGAGGGCGTCGCGTTTGCGACCTCGAGGTCGATGACCTTTTCTAGGAGCCTGTGTACAGGGATGAGTCGCGTTGCGTCTTTTGAAAGTGCGAGGAATGCTGAGCCTACCAGTCGCGAAAACGGCTGACGCAGTCTCCTAAGTCTCCGCGGGTCTCGTATTTCGGGTATATGAGATGCTTCACGTTGATCTTGGGCAGCGCGGACGCGAGCTGCGAGCGCAGCTGCTCTGTGAAGCCATCCTCGTCACCAAAGGTGTCGTCACCCCCCTGCGAAAAGTGTCAGATTCGATGCATCCGGTAGACTCTTGCGGGGGGACTTACCTTGAAGCCGTGGATAAAGACCAGAAGAAGTGTTTTCTTCATCTTTGGCTCGCCATCTATGTCGGATCTGAGGTTGATGTTTCGGACAGCTTGCTTAGCTTCAGCCTACAGCTTGATGGATGACAGTGTTGTCACAGTGCGAAGGCGCATGAACGCCCCGCATCGCCACCCCGCCGCCCATGTGACTGGTTACCTACCTATGCTATCCCTCGAAATAAGCAACTTCGACTGAACCAAGTCCTCGCTTTGAAAAACACAATGTGGAGCATTCCTGCTAGAAGCCAGCGGCAACGTCGGTTTGATCATTTCAGCCTCGAAGGTATCAGCGAATGCTCTCTTCTGTCGCTAATATGGCTCCGCCGACCTCCAATGAATAGCCCTCAACATGCAGGCTGCCACCGATCTAATGGCCAATCACCTGACCGGCCTAGGACGGTCGCTTCTCACATGATGGTTCTTCCTCGCTGACGGCAAGTCTCAGGACTTCTCATTTGAGAAGCTTTGCAATACTTTCTCAGCGCCGCGAGACGAAACACCGCAAAATGCGTCTGCTCAACGTCGACACTAGAAGGTTGGAGGAATACTTCAACAATATTCCACCATATGCCATCCTGTCACACCGTTGGCGCGAGGAAGAAGTTACTCTGCAGGACCTCGATCGTCCAGACCACAAGACGAAGAAAGGGTACGTCAAGGTCGACAGGAGTTGCTGGCTGGCCGCGAAGCACGGCTTCCAATACGTCTGGATCGATACCTGCTGCATCGACAAGACAAGCAGCGCGGAGCTCTCCGAGGCAATCAACTCCATCTTCAGGTGGTACGCAGATGCCTCCGTCTGCTTCGCCTTCCTCGATGATGTGCATACCGACGACTCTCGGCATGTTCCCGCCACCCAGTTTGAAAGAAGCCTTTGGTTTACGCGGGGCTGGACCTTGCAGGAGCTCCTCGCCCCCAAGAGCCTGAGGTTCTACAGTAGCACGTGGGTGCATTTCGGCACTCGGTCGTCCCTAGCTGATAACATTCACGTCGCCACCAAGATACCAACCCCGTTTCTTCGGGGTGAGCAGGATTTCCGCACGGCGGGGATCGCGGTGCGCATGTCTTGGGCCGCCAGGCGTGAGACGACCCGGCTGGAGGACATGGCGTACTCGTTGCTTGGAATCTTCGACGTGAACATGCCACTGCTCTACGGCGAAGGGGAGAGGGCGTTCGAACGACTTCAACTGGAACTTATGAATCGAACGCCTGACGAATCCATACTTGCCTGGAGCCCCTCGCTCGAGGTTCTGCAGAAGAAGTCCTCGGACGTCATGTTCGAACGGTTCCGGCTTTATTGGAACGCCATTCATATCATGGGCGCAGGTTCTACGGGTAGCCAGGAGTTCATGCAGTACTATCGCGAATGCGCCTACGAGCCTTCATCCCACGGGCTCCTCGCCCGCAGTCCCAAAGAGTTCGCATGTTGGGCGGGAATGTCGGCCACGCCCATGGGCGAAGCTAGATCTGTGCTGGAAATGACAAGTCGTGGTTTGCGGATCACCCTGCCTCTTTTCCGACTCGAGAAGCTGGCCTATGGCTTGCTGAACTGCCAAATCGGGACCAATTTCTCAAAGGTCCTCGCGATACCCCTTTTCCAGTCTTCTTCCGCCGACGAGTACGTCCGTCCACGCATACCACCGTGCCTGTTGGATGTCCCTTGGAATGTGACGCGGCACATGCCGCACCACACCATCTTCGTCAAGAAGGTCGAGCAGGCCGACGGCCCTGAGTACCCAGTGTGGAATTCGGGCTTCAGATGTGGATTCGTTCGGTTCCAGATCGTACGCGGGCCCGTCGAACTACCGGAGCGGTTGGTGGAGGTCTGGCCGGCAGAGGCGGACAAACGGCAATGGAGTTGCGTGTGTCCGCTTCCTGACAGGTACCAGAATTGGCAACGGACGATGCTACACTATTCCAGTGGTAGGTACGGGGCCGACGATAAGTACGACGGGTTTGTCGTCGTTCTGGAACCGCGAAGTTTTGCCCATGCACTTTTCTCGCTGTGCCAGGTTCCTCCCCCTTTTGTCTGTCACATCGTTCGCAAGCCCAGAAATCAGTCACTCAAGGACATGATGACGGGACTAGACATGTCACGAGTGAGCAACGAACTCGTGCTGGAAGACGGTCCTCGTGGAGCCGTGGTAAGGAGACAGTCGTTTCTCAAGCATGAGATGTTCACCGTCGAAGTATACGGCCATCGATTTCCGTACTTTAATCCCGTCTTCAAGCGCAATGTCTATGGAAAGGTGGACCCCGACGCCTTGATTCGCTATCTCACGCGAGGACTCGGCGTCGGAGGAGCCTTGAGCTTCCTCGCAGGTTACGTCCACGATAGCTGGGCCTTCAGCTGGCGAGAATTTCACTTCGTCTTCATGGCCATGTCATCGTGGGGATTTCTGAGCGACAACGTCGGCATCGCCGACATACTCGTGTCGCTGATGCTGGTGACCGTCTTCTTCGCGCTCCGCTTCAAAGCTCGGCTTGCCGCGCGCGCCATCCACGTGTCGAGCAGCGACACGACGGACGACGAGGTCGCGTACCGTTACTGGCACCTCGACCTGTCATTCGTCTACTGCTTCTTGCTCGCGAACTCCTATGTCTACTACCGAACCTATCGACACGGGGAAGACCTGAGTGTGGTCCTGGTGCTGCAGCTCTTGTATCTAACTTCGTGGGGCCAGGAACCTAGGGTCCTGCAGTCGCAGAGTGGGGGGTTGGTCTTCAAGGCTTGGGAGGTGTTGCGTTGGGTCTTGACGTTTTCACCCATGTTGCTCATCCCCGCGATGCTGTCTGAGACGGAATGGTTTCGAGGGAGTTGACGTACAGATGCTGCGGTACCTGAGACGACCATATAAAGTGAGATGTTCATGTTACTATCACTATTTCTGGTCAAATTAATGTCTATGAGGGCCATGTGGTGTGTGGTACTGCTGTGCAATGTTCGTGATTTACACTTGGCACGAAACGAATGCCAACTTCACACATGACATCACGTACCTGACCTGGTTCCGTACTGCACCAGAGACACGTCTCAGGTACTCTGTCGAACGTGCGATGAGCTGTGGATGTATACACTTTCTTGATGACTTGCAGCACGTTGTTCACTGGTGAAAACAGTGGACTGAAACATCAATTTACTTTTAAGAGCTCACGATTTTACCACCTCTTAGAACACAGCAAGGAAAGATCAGTATGTGGCCGTCAGCCTCTGTACGAGGTACTTCCCACTGTTGATGCCCTCGTACTTCTTCTCCGCCTCCGTCGCGTAAGTACCAGGGATGGCCTCGATGTGGCTCTTGAAGTTGGGGTTGCAGAAGTATCTATCAATCGTCAGCATCCCACTCAACAGCGGAAGAACACATCCACACTCACGCAATGCTGTACCGCGCCGGGTACTCCGACCCATCCTCCGGCTTCCTCGGGGGCTCGACGACGCGGTGGATGGTGCTCTTGATGGTGTCGTTGCTCCACCTCATCAGCAGGTCGCCCGCATTCACGACCACCGTCCCGGGAATCGGCGTCGCGTCCACGAACTGCCCGTTGGGGCTCTTCACCTGCAGGCCGCCGCGGTCGTCCTGGAAGAGCAGCGTGATGGACCCGTAGTCGCTGTGCGCGCCGGCGCGCACCTGGCCCGGGTTGACCTTGAACACCTTGGGGTCGACGGAGGGGTAGTGCAGCAGGCGCAGGGTGTTGTCGCCGACGTCGGTGAAGCCGTCAAAGTAGCGCTCGTCGATGCCCATGCCGACGGCGATGGCGCGCATGACCTCGGTGTGCAGGCCCTTGCACTGGTCGAAGAACTCGAGCATCTGGGCCCTGAAGCCGTCGACGGCGGTGCCGGGCTTCTCGACGGGCCACCGGTTCGGGTGGTCGGGCTCGCCGTCGCGGCCGATCTCGAAGCTCTCCTTCAGGTCCGGGTTGCCGGAGCGCTCCTTCTCGACCGAGGCGGCGTCCATGAACTGGGAGACCTTCTCGCGGCCCGGGGCCGAGTAGCCGCGGTTGGCCTCCGGGGTGGTCCAGCCGACGGCGGTCTTGGCCTCGTCGTCCTGGGCGAAGAAGTCGGCCGACTTGGCGAAGGTGGCGGCGCGGAGCTCGGGGCTGATGGGTACGTTCTTGAGGTAGATGAAGCCGGCGTTCTGGAAGCCGTCGAGGATCTGCTTGGCCGTCTCGGTGCGCTTGGCCGTGTCGCCGTTTAGAAAGGCGGAGAAGTCGATGAGCTAAGGGTTTGATGAGTGAGAGGTGAGTTTTGGAGATGGTTTGGCTCACTTACGGGGATGAAGAGGCCCTCTTTATCTACTGCTGTGGCTGCCATTGTGATCTTTTGAGTGTTCGGCTTGAGTTAAGAATAACAAGTATGAGATTGCTTGAGATTGAGGTGAAGTTCTGGTGAGGTGTCAGAAGCCAAATGTATCAGTAGAGCATTACTCGGACTCAGACGTAGAAGATTCCACGGCGTCGCGATAAGGTTCACGAATGGGATCCGTGCGAGTAGGATATTCAAGCGGCTTATATTCGTCCCTTCTGGTAATACAGTCCGTAACGTGGTGCAAGCAGACGGCCAACCACGAGCCGGGCTTTGGCCTACATACCATCCAGCCATCCTCATCCGGCCGGCGAAAGACCCTTGCTGATCCCGGTACCCAGCACTACAATGAGAAAAGACCCTTGGGAAACTGTAGGCCGGGTCGAACCGCGCGAGTCGCACGAGCAGCCATCGGAGACCTCCTACACGGTTATAATACCAACGTGTAAGACAAAGTGGCGTTACCCCGCCAAACGCACAACGGAATGATAAGGCCGGGGCGGCGCGAAGCACCGGAGAAGATAACGGCGGGGTAAAGATAATCAGGACGAGAGGGATTGGGTTGCAAGGCACCGCAGTTGGAGACGCTCGCGTGTGGGGGAGACTGGGAAGAGATGCTGCATGAGGAGACATGCATTGGGGGGATGCGGGTCATGGCAACCTCATCACCTTCCTGGAAAGACGTAGCTCGTTCGGTAACAGGTACTTACTTTGGAAAAACGACGAGTTCCGGCGCTTAAGAAACAACTCGTCTTGTACAATTGACATCGTCTTTTCTTTGGTTTTCCAGAGTTGTGTGTGTCTTAGCCAGGAACTTTCACGACTCGCGACTGAACCTCGATCTCTGTAAGTTGGACATCTCAGGTCCATGCTTTTCAATCCCGCAAAGACTCACGAACAACAGACTCATCGAGACCCTGATCTGATACCCCGCACCTGGGCAAAACAACAAGAATCAACAGACTCGACCTCAAAAGTCGAAGGGCAAAAAAAAGGACACAATGGCCTCTTCGACGCCGATGAAGGTGGTGGACATCCACACCCACATGTACCCCCCGTCGTACATCAAGATCCTCGAGTCTCGAACCACCATTCCGGTCGTGCGCCGGTTCCCGCAGGACCCCGATCCGCGCCTCATCCTCCTCGCCTCGGAGCAGCAGGCCCTCGACGAGGCCACCAAGGACCCCGCCGCGAAGCCCCCGGGCCGGCCGCTGACCTCCCACTACGCCTCGCTCGAGCAGAAGGTGCACTTCATGGACACGCACAAGATCGACATCTCCGTCGTCTCGCTCGCGAACCCCTGGCTCGACTTCATCGACGCGTCCCAGTCGGGCGCCATGGCGCGGGACGTCAACGAAGAGTTCGACCGCATGTGCGCCGCGCACCCAGGCCGCCTGTTCTTCTTCGCCGCCCTGCCCCTGACCGCGCCGCTCGAGACCATCCTCGAAGCCATCACCCACGTCAAGGGGCTGAAGTACTGCCGCGGCATCATCCTCGGCACGTCCGGGCTCGGCAAGGGTCTCGACGACCCGGAGCTGCTGCCCATCTTCAAGGCCATCGCCGCCGCCGGCCTGACCGTGTTCCTGCACCCGCACTACGGCCTGCCGAACGACGTCTGGGGCCCGAGGGCGAGCAACGAGTACGGCCACGTGCTGCCCCTCGCGCTGGGTTTCCCCATGGAGACCACCATCGCGGTAGCCCGGATGTACCTGGCGGGCGTCTTCGACGCGGTGCGCGACTTGCGCATGTTGCTCGCCCACAGCGGCGGCACCCTGCCCTTCCTGGCCGGTAGGATCGAGAGCTGCATCTTGCACGACGGGCAGCTGGTGCGCGAGGGCAAGGTTGGCCAGGGTCGTCGGAAGATCTGGGATGTGCTCAAGGAGCAGATCTACCTCGACGCCGTCATCTACTCCGAGGTGGGACTGAAGGCGGCGATTGACGCGAGCGGGGCCGACAGACTCATGTTCGGTACGGATCACCCCTTCTTCCCGCCGTTGACCACGGATGAGCAGGGTGAGTGGGAGAGCGTGAGCATGAACGCCGATGCGGTGGCTGCTGCGGTGGGTGAGGGCAGCGAGCAGGCAAAGGCCATCATGGGCGGCAACGCAATTGAGATTTTGAGGTTGAAGGTCGATTGAGTGGGTCGGTGTACGAATATCAAAATAAAATGAAAATCATCGTCGCTTCATGAACTTCGATGAGAATGAATGAGATGTGGGAACTCATGTGAGAATCGGTTAGCTGTGTGAAAACCGCCACCGCCTTCTGTATGCGGGCGAAAACAGTGGAGATTATTCATACCGCCTTCCGAGTATCCTCATTTACTGGGCTTTCTGCCGGCAATTGCTGAAAATATGCCTGTTGTCCCCGCGACAATTCCCATTCCGCATCCAACTTACAGCAGGCCAATCAATTCACTTCCATCCATCAAGTTTATATCTGCATATAATTGAGTTTGGAATTGAACTTCAGCGCATATCAACCAACATGGCCACCGAGACCCGCCGTTCAAACGGCACGCGCCTCGATGCCTCCCTCGGCATCACTGAGCGCATCGCCCCGAGCACGACGGCTTGGACAGGCGACATGCGCAAGAGGTGCGCGCCCCGGGAATTTCATCTTACTCGCAACATCTAACCAAATTCCAGATACACAGATTTTCAAGTCTACGAGATCAACAGAGATGGCTCCGTCCTCCACCTAACGGAAACCTCTCTCCCACCTCCCCCAAAGGAACCCACCCCTCCGCCGGCTGCTGAGGAGAAGAAGGAGGAGACGGAGGAAGTCAAGGAGGAAACCAAGGCGGAAGAAGTCAAGACAGAGGAGACTCCTGAGAACGTCGAGAATGGCGAAAACGGCGAGAACGGCGAAACCTCCAAGCCCGCCGTCCCTGAGATCCCCGCAGAAGACATCGCGACCCTCGCCTCTCTCACAGACCAAGAATTCGCCGACAAGCTCGTGGCAATGTTCAACACAATCAGCGCCGACAAGAACGCCAAACCCGAACCCGCGACGTCGCCCGTCATGGACGACAAGGAAAAGCGCGGCCAACTCCATCAGCAAGTCCGCCGCATCTTCAACTCGGTGATCGACACGACCACAGACACCACGGGCGCCATCGTCGCCAAGATCACACCTCCCCGCGGCAAGGGCAGAGGCGTGCGCGGAGGCGGGCCTCAGCAGCAGAAGAAGCAGCAGCAGCAACGGCAACCCAAGGTCAAGGCCCCCGGCGAGGGCGAGTACCTCCACTTCACACTGTACAAGGAGAACCGCGACACCATGGATGCCACGGGCCAGATCGCGAGGGCCCTCCGCATCAAGCCCCAGGCCGTCGGCACCGCCGGCACCAAGGACCGCCGCGCCGCGACGACGCAGCGCTGCTCCATCCGTCATGGCCGCGCCGACGCCCTCGTCCGCGCCAACTCCCGTCTCCACGGCGTCATCACCGGCGACTACCTCTACGCCACGACCCCGATCCACCTCGGCGCGCACGCCGGCAACGAGTTCGTCATCGCGCTGAAGGACTGCGCCGTCGCGGGGACCCCCGACCTCCCCCACGACGAACGCCAGGCCAAGATCCGTGAGTCCGTCGGGTCCGCCATGGCGAGCATGCACTCGCGCGGCTGGATCAACTACTTCGGCCACCAGCGCTTCGGGACCCACGCCGTCGGCACCCACGAGGTCGGCCGCCTCATCCTGCAGGAGGACTTCGAGGGCGCCGTCAACGCCATCCTCACCTACGACGAGGACGTCGCCAAGCGCGCCGCCGGCGGGGAGGTCCCCTCCGAGGGCCACGCCCGGGACGACTTCAACCGCCAGCACGCCTGCATGCTCTTCCGCCAGGGCGGCACCATGGACGACGCCGTCAAGATCCTCCCGCGCCGCTTCAACGCCGAGGCCAGCGTCATCCGCCACCTCGGCAGGCCCAACCAGACCTCGCGCAGAGACTTCTTCGGCGCCCTCACGAGCATCACCCGCGGCCTGCGCAACATGTACCTCCACGCCTACCAGTCCTACGTCTGGAACCACGCCGCCAGCCACAGGTGGCGTCTGTACGGGGACAAGGTGGTCGAGGGCGACCTCGTCTTCACGCAGTCCCAGGCCGAGGCGGAGAACGACGACGACGACGACGCGGCCACCGCCGACGCCCGCGCGCTGACCGCCGAGGAGGCGGCCTCGGGCAGGTACACGATCCACGACGTCGTCCTCCCCTCGCCGGGCCACGCCGTGGTCTACCCGACCAACGCCCTGGGCGAGTTCTACACGACCTTCATGAGGGACAACGGCGGTCTCGACCCGGCCAAGATGCTCCGCCGGCACCGCGAGTTCAGCCTGCCCGGCGCGTACCGCAAGTTCGCCGTGCGCTTCCTCGCGGAGCCCGCGTTCGAGGTCCGCGCGTACGAGGACGACAACGAGCAGATGCACCCGACGGACATGGATCTCATCCGCGCCAGGCGGGGCGGCGACCAGGCGTCGTCGTCCAAGAAGCGCGGCCGCGAGGGGGAGGAGGATGACGGTGCGAACAAGAAGGCCAAGACCGAGACGGAAGAGGCCCCGGCCGAGGAGGTCAAGACCGAGACCGGGGCGGAGGTTCCGGCCGCAGAGGCCGGGTCCGATGTGAAGATGGAGGATGCGGCGGTCGCGCAGCCCGAGAAGGCCGAGCCTGAAGAGAGTAAAGTGGAGCCGGCGACGAAGAAGACGGCTGTGGTGGTCACTTTCCAGCTCCCCAAGAGCGCCTACGCAACCGTGGCCCTCCGCGAGTTGATGGGCGTGGATGAGTCCGAGGTGACGGCGAAGGCATGAACTTGGTAAAAAACTATTGATCAATCACTCTCCTACCTGGCATACAACAAAATCGGTGTAGACTAGATACCCCCTGAAGGAAGAATTGTTTGGGTTGAAATATATATATGTACAGTGACTGACCCTCCCGACCTTGGGAAAAGAAAAAAATGATGAGAAACTCCCCCTTTCGCCTGGGCCAAGGAAAAATGTCGGAAACCAAAAACATTTGTGTACTTTTTTTCAATTGCTCCATACTGAACAGGCTCAACGCTCCAGTGCCATGATAACAACAACAATGCCAGTACACAACAATCTTTGTGCTGCTGATGAATGAACCCCGCTTCATTCCCCTGCTCGCCGTGAGGGCTCATCCAAAAAGACCCCCGTCCCCCCATGATGAAGGCGTGGCAGAAGCAAGCTTGTGCATGCCCCATTGTATACTTAGATTGTGACAGATGGCTTTGATCTTTTTCGGCTAATCGCTTGATTTCCGGCATTCGTGTTGTTTTTTTGGTTCCTTGTTTCGAACATACACCATCCCTTGATAATTTCACCATTCCGATTGTTGCAGCCATTCTCGATGCAATCGTTGTTGAGGCAAGTCATTCCTTGTATGCAGATAAGTCGACAATCCAGTATTATTTGAGCAATGTCGTCGGTTCGTCTAAGAGGTCGGTTCTTCGTAAGGCCTTGGCCGCTCGTAAATCGCCGACGAGATGTTCGTCGTCTGGATCACTTCGAGTCCCAGCCCCATACCTGGGAAAGGTACTTGGCCATGTTGACGCGCTTCGACCGCATCTCAACCATCCACGGGTGCTCAAGCATTCTCCAAGGACTGGCTCTCCGGGTAGACTCCTTCTCCAAGCTGTGAAATGTCAGTAAGCAGTCATTGACACCGATGGGCTTTACGTACCAGCACTCGATGAAGTACTTGAAGTTGTCGGTCCAGAAAATGTTGGCGTCCGGTTCGTCTTTCAGCTTGGGTATCGGTTGCCGCACAATGTACGTAAGAAGATCGATAAGACCAGCGCGAGGCTGCATCTCAGTGCCGTCGGCAGGGAAGGGGAAGCGATGCTGTGCGACCTCGAGAAGGGTGACGCCCGTTGACCAGACGTCGGATGTGATGGTGTATGATTGGCCGGTGATACGTTCAGGGGCCATGTAGTAACTGGTACCAATAAAGGTGTTTGCCTCACCCTTGGTTCCAAAATCTCCCGAGACACCGAAATCGCAGAGCTTGACATCTCCGTTCCTACACAGCAAGATGTTGGATGGCTTGATGTCGCGGTGGATGATGCGCATGCCGTGGAGGTACGTCAGTCCGCGCAGGACGCCCTCGGAAATCTTGCCGAGCACCTTCTCGCCAGTCCGGCCTCCGAGCTTCTTGACCTCCTTGTAAATGCTGTCGAGAGAACCACCCTCGCAGAACTCCATGGCGATGGAGATGGTGCCAGTAGTCGTGTCCTCGAATGCGCCGTAGTATCGGCAGATGTGCTCTGACGCACACTCTTTGTTGAAACCCAGCTCTCTCACAATCTGCTTCTTGACGTCGGGATCGGGATTTGTGGTAATGACCTAAAGGTGTCAGTCCGTAGTTCTTGTTTCTCAACAAATGTACGCACCTTGAGAGCAAAAATTGTCTTTCCGCCCTTCAACTTGGCCTTTGTAACAGCACCACCGGCACCTTCACCGAGAGAGTCGAGTTCCTCGATTCTCTTTTCGAGGCTGGCGACCCTCCAGCCATCGGCATCAAGTTCTTCGACATCCAACGTCCTGCCTCTTTCCAAAGACAGCTTATCGAAATTTTCGAGACCTTGAAGGCTGTTGTCTCGTTCCATGCCCACGCCGCCATCGCTTCGTTCTGAGTAGATGGAGCCGACGGCAGACGAGGGGTCAGGTGTTCCGTGGGGCCGCGGCGCTCCGAAGCCGTATTGCGAGGCAAAAGACAAGGCCGAGTATTGAGAGCCGGCGGACGTGGGGTTACTGGCTCTGCCGTCCAACGGGCCGAAGCTTCCTGACCTGGAGTGGGCCGCGCTGCTCTCACTACCACCACTGGCTGACTGGCCTACGCCTACTGGTCTCTGGGGTTGCTCATAGGGTGTTGTTTGGCTGCCCATGGGGGTTGCCAGGTGAAGGGTCGGGAGAGGAGGTCGAGAGTTTACGGGTTGGGGTGCGTTTCCGCCTACGGGCTTCGCATTCGGTGACGGCGGGATGGCAAGACCGAGTCTCGGTGTTCGGGCGCCGCCGCCGGGTCTTGAGCCGGGGATGGCAGGACGGAGGAGAGGGACTGGAGAGTTCATCATGGGAACGGAGCCGGGTGTTGAGAGGGGAGAAGGGACATGAGGTGCCTGTAGACATCATTGTTAGCATGGTTCTGGAGGTGGGAAGAAGCTAGGTGCAAGCAGGTTTACCTGTTGAGGAGCGTCCATGGTTTGTGGTTGTGACGGGTTCTGGTCGGCCATGATGGCGATATAAGGTCGGGCGGACCAGAAGGAGGCAGTTCGAGCAAGAGACGGTTATACAAAACAAAGACAGGATTGCACAAAGTCGCAAAAGGGCCGAAGCCAAGCAACCCGACGACGTAGTTGGAGGTAGGTTGATGTGCGGTCGCTGCGCTCGAGGGCACGGGCGGAAAGCAGAGCTAGTGTGCTCGAGGGATTGTGTGGGAAGGAAGAGCTGACGTAGGGGTCGGGGCTAAACAATGGAAGTCGTCGACGGGCGGTAAGGTAATAGACTGTAAGGTTTAGTAGCCGTCGAGATCAGCCGTTCGGGGCGGTTGGTAGATTGGAGGTCAGATCGGAACGAGTGGAAGAAAGAAACATGGAGTGGAAACGTCGACAAGAACGAGAGTAGCTCTCTCTCCGCAAGGCCTCAGAATGGGTCGAGGTTAGGTCAGGTCGAGGACGAGGTAGAGGTCGCAGTCCCAAGTCGGAATCGGAAATGGGGTTTTGGTGAGGAGAGTGGGAAAAGAGCCGACGCCGTCGGCCGTGGATGCGTACGCGGTTTCTATGCTTCTCTCAGGCCTGATGTCTGTATCGGGACCGGGGTCTGGAAGAGGGGGTTTCTTCTCTCTGGGCAGAATGAAGGAGGGGGGCCACACCCAGCACTCAGCACTCAGGACTCAGCAATCAGCAATCAGCACCCAGCACTCCAAAGCAGACCTGAGCGATTCGATTATTGTGGCGAGACCCAACGTCCAAGGTCCAAGGTCCAAGGTTACAGGTCCTGGGTCCTGGGTCCTAGGTCCTTGATCTTTCGGAGCGCCTGAAGTGGGATTCGAGTGGGCAAAAAAGGCGGGGAGGGCGGCGGGACAGGGACGAGCTTGGGCGCTAATTCCAAGGCGTTGTCGTTGTCTATCGAACGTGAACAACATTTGTGCAAGCACACACGTAATGAGCCAAGAACGAAGTCGAGAGTCGCCTTTTGGGCACCTCGAATGGCAAAAAAGGTACCTTATCCGTCATGTTGGGTACCGGTGGCTGCGTCTGCGTACGTATTCGTCCCGTCCCCTACCTTAACCTTCCGTCAGTCACCTACCTCACCATCACAGGCACCGCACGAACCAAAGTCAATGAGGCCCAAGACGAGCAAAAAGCCTACGCTCGGTCGCGCTTCCAATGTTTTCTGCCTTTTCAACTGTGTCATTCGGGATGGGAAGACGCGCCACATTACGGGCTCCCTTGCGTCGTCTGAGGTTCTGCCCTTCCCGCTCGGGGATTTGCAAGCACGACATCATCTTCGAGGCCTACCGAATTGGAACAAGACGATATCCATGATGGGGACTCAAACAGCAGCTCAGCCGGAGAAAACCCTACGAGCATGCAGCACCTTCGCATAACACCGTACGGGAGAAAACAAATATCCTGCGACGGAAAAACGAAAACGAGACAACAAAAGCAATGCCGCCGTTCCGACTCAAGTCAACAGTCATCAAGTACATTGTTCCGCGCATGTCTGTACGTGTACCTCGTCATCATCACAGCAACCGCTCTTTGATGAGTGAGCTCGAAACGAAACCACCAACCCACCGGGCCATCTCATCACAGTCCTGTTCTGAATACACAATGAGCAGACGGCAAGACAAGTGACACGCAGCCCTCGGGCGGCGAGATGTGAGAGGATATCTGCGATGCAGCAACAGCATGGGGGCGTGAGAGACGCGACAGGGGTTGCGCTGCAGTTGGTGGTGTGTCGTCTGTGTCTTGGGCTGCCATTCGATGCCCTGCCCTGCACCTGGAGACTATCCTTCCAGGCCAAGCACCTCGCCGTGGGCACGCACCCAGAGCCTGGCAAGAGAGCCAGAACCAAGCAAAAGCTCGAGCTCGTCTCCCCTGCTTTCCGTCTCGTTGCGGGTTGCTCCTCTGCGTCCTGCGGCGTGGTCCCGCCCTTGCTCCTCTGCTGCACAAAGCGGGGGCCGTCCCCGATGCATCTTGACTCTTTGGTTGTGGCAGACCACGGGATTCGATCGACAGAACAATATGGACATGTCGCCGGTTCAATCAAACAAGTAGTCGTCCGACGATGGCCCTACCTCCCTGAGCACTGTCAGCTGGGTCGGCTATCTACCCCTCCTCGTCGCCCCTCGAAGATTAGCCAACTCCAGGCGCAAACAGCCGAATCATTCTCGTCACATTCTCCTGGCTCGCTCACACACCCTTCCGGCCATCCTATTGTACAGTATCCGCCTGTACGAGCGCAGGACGGGGGAAAGATTAAAGCGGGCTTTTTGGCGACCAATCTCCATTCACAGAATAGCCATTGTGGTCCAGAGCGTGCCGATGAAACTCGCATGAGCCAGTTGACAGCGTCGTTTTGTCTGGAAAATGGGGCATTTCCGGCGGCGGCAGACGAGGACTGGAGACTGGAGACTGGAAACACCACGCCGAGTACGGTGCCCAGGGAGGACGGCAAGGAGGAGAGGAGTGGGCAAATGGGGCACCACACGGAGCTCCCCTCGGCACCTGTGCTGGCTGAGTCCCTCCATCCTCCGTCCGTCTGCAATGGCTTCCATTCCAAATAATTCGGTGGCCGTTGTTACGGATACACTTCAGATCACCGGCACAGCAATCCGTCGTCCATCTGAGCAGCGACAGTAAGCTGATTGCAGAGACTTGGATGCGAGCGACGGAGGATGCAGACCGGCTGCAGCGCAACCGCACCAACTTCCCCTCCACCGGTCCTGCGGCGCGAATGGGAGGGCGCCCCGAAGTGGGTGGAAGCAGAGACGGACGGGAGAGACAAGGAACAATTTGGGGTCCGAAACACCACGAATTTTCAACTCGTCCATCCTACCTTCGATTTTACCCAATGCGGCCAACATCGTAAGGCGACGGCTTGTTATACGGGCTGTCACTGCCGCAAGTTTTTGATGCCGCGCAAATGTCCTCACCGCATCGCATCAGACCCCGATAATATTCAGACGAAGGCCCGGTTTTAACGAGGGCCTGCCCGGGACACGTACGTGGTGCACCGCTGTTCGGCGGTTGAGCTGCACAGGTTGCCTTTCGGGGAATTACCGTTGCCTGAATATCAATTTCCATACGCAGGCTGCATTGATATGCGCAGCACATGTATGCCTTGCCACACGGCCACACAGTCAGTCGCAGAGGCCTGGGTATCGTGAGGCAGATGCAGATGTTCCCGCGGCCGCCATCAGCACCTGTCGGATCCGCTGTACCGGGACCCAGATATGAGGTCAAACTCACCGACAGTCAGACGGCACACCCGAAAGAGGAGCCTCTGGCGAGACATATTGAAACCGTGTTCCTCATGATGCCTCATTGGACAAGCGCTTACAGATGGACGGTTGGGGGCAGCAGTTGGTACGCCCCTGGACGTCAGTGATCGGCAGTCGATTCCTCTCTGCTATGCATGTCTTCCTTTGTGATCTCCGCCAGCGACACCTTACACACACCAACACGCGACAGACCGTACTGTGCCTCATCCTCACCTGGCTTACGGGCACCAATGCAATCACGGGCGCGATGGCGATGGCCAATGTGTCCTCGGCTCACGCACGGGGCATAAGCACAAGTCCAGGAACCGGTACCTAGAGTGCGCCAAGCACGTAGGGCAGGAAATGCAATGATGCTGGCCGCATCCCTGGACGGGAAGCAACGCTATGCTGTCATCAGCCTCAGCCCTGAAAGTTTCCTGAAGTATCTGGGCCCCGAGGGAGAAGACGGACGGCATTGTCAGGCCGGCACCCAGCACCCAGCACCCAGCAGCACCAACATCAGCTCGACTCATCTTCTCAGGTCGACCCATGCCTCGCGTAACGCACAGGTTACAATCCGGGGGCAGAGGCATTGCAGCTCCAGATGAAATCTGCAACCAACAGATGACAGTCGGCCGTCTCGTGTGCCTTTGGAGTATGTGACTGGCAGAGAGCGTCTCTCTCTTTCACGCTTTTGCCGCCCCGTGACTGGCTGATCATTGCCATTATCTTCCGGTGGTGTCTTGCTTCAATGGCTCCCGTCGTTTCCCCAAGCGCGCGTTTACCCTTCAATTCAATGCGGAACCCTTTACCGCCTTCCCATTGGATTGCCCCACGTTGAGCCCCTGCATCACCCCGCCTGCCCGCCCAATCCCGGCAGCTGGCAGCGTTCTGAATCCGCCCAAGCTTTTGCGTCAATCTTTTTTTTTTTTTTTTCTCGCGGGAGATCCTGAAGGAAAATTCTCATACGCTGGTGCAGCGCTGCCGTCCACCCATCACCAATCACCCCCGTGATAGAAGGTTGTTCCTGCGTCTCAGGTCTTGTTCGACTCCAACCGAGGCGGAATCTTTTTGATTAATCACCGGAATGCCCCCCGCAGATCCCAGACGTCCGGGTCGCGCGGCCGACGACGAGGACTCGGATTCCTCCTCAGCCTCCTCCTCCGGCGCCGAGTCCGACTACCTCGACAGCCCGGCCTCGCGCAAGAGGAGAAGAACCGAACCCCAAGTCGAACCTGAGCTGGCAGGCAATGACGACGACGATGACGACGAGGAGGAGCTCAAGGCCGTCGTCTCAACCATCCAGGCCCCTTCGCGGTTCAAGCGCGCCGCTCCCGAAAAGGCACCGCAAGCCGTACTCCCCACCCCGTCGCAAAACGCAATCACCGCGCCGACAGACCCCAACACCACATTCTCTGCGCTCGATGTCAAGCCATGGCTGGTCCAGTCGCTGGCCAACATGGCCATCAAGCGGCCGACGGGCATTCAAAAGGGCTGCATACCTGAGATCTTGAAGGGGAGGGATTGTATCGGCGGCAGCAGGACGGGTTCCGGTAAAACGGTCGCCTTCGCCGTGCCTATCCTCCAGAAATGGGCCGAGGATCCCACGGCAATCTTTGGCGTCGTCCTGACGCCGACCCGCGAGCTGGCGTTGCAGATCTTTGAGCAGTTCAAGGCCATCTCCGCGCCGCAGAGCCTCAAGGCCATCCTCGTCACTGGCGGCTCTGACATGCGAGCGCAGGCCATCGCGCTGGCCCAACGACCTCATGTCGTGATCGCAACGCCGGGTCGCCTGGCTGACCACATCCGGACGTCGGGAGAGGACACAATCTGCGGTCTCCGTCGCGTCAGGTACGTCGTGCTCGACGAAGCCGATCGTCTTCTCGATGCCACTGGGCCCGGCAGCATGATCCCCGACGTCGAGGAGTGCCTCTCCGTGCTCCCCCCGTCCTCGCAACGCCAGACCCTCCTCTTCACCGCCACCATCACCCCCGAGGTCCGCGCCTTGAAGGACATGCCCATCAAGCCCGGCAAACAGCCCGTCTTCGTCTGCGAAGTCGACACCCAGTCCCTCGCCATCCCGACCACCCTGTCGCAGATGCACCTCCAAGTCCCCGTCACCCACCGCGAGCACTACCTCCACACCTTCCTCCTCACGGACGGCAACGCCCCCAAGTCCGTCATCATCTTCTGCAACCGCACCTCCACGGCCGACTACCTCCACCACCTCCTCCGCCTGCTCGACCACCGCGTGACGTCGCTGCACTCGGGCCTGCCCCAGCGCCAGCGCGTCGACAACCTGGGCCGCTTCCGCGCCGCCGCCGCGCGCATCCTCGTCGCCACCGACGTCGCCTCCCGTGGTCTCGACATCCCCGAGGTCGGCCTCGTCGTCAACTACGACATCCCCCGCAACCCGGACGACTACATCCACCGCGTCGGTCGTACGGCGCGCGCGGGCCGCAAGGGCGAGGCCGTCACCTTCGTCGGGCAGCGCGACGTCGAGCTCGTGCTGGCCATCGAGGCCCGCGTGGGCAGGCAGATGGAGCCCTGGGCGGAGGAGGGCGTCAACATCGAGACCCGCGTGCTGCGGGACGCGCTCAAGCCCGTGACGGAGAAGAAGAGGGAGGCGCTGTTGGAGCTGGAGGAGGGCAGGGAGGTCGGTGGGAAGAGGAAGAGGACGAAGCAGAAGCTCAGGAGTTAGGCTGTCTTTGGGTCTGGTTTGTGATATATGTATGAAATGTGCTGAAATGGGATTAGACGGAATAGACAAAAGAATACCCAATACATTGAGATGTACTATGCGGTGGGATTATTGATGTTGTGTCTATGATATAGTCTACATATTCTTTGTGTGATTATGATCCTAAGTCGTCCTAGAGCGTTTTCCCCTTCCCATGTCATTTGATTCTCATAGATGGGATTCTTGAGTAATGCCAAACTTGCCATTATATAAACTCTCCAACCAGTGCCAATGTCATCTAGGCCTCAAGTGGCTCTGTCCGGTGAAGATGTTAGATGTTGAGCTTCTTTGAAAACAGGGCAACCTGACATTCAAGTATATCCCGGCGCACTAGGATAGCTCAGAGTAGTGACTACAAGGCGCTCACCAAGCTCTCGTCCATCCGTCCGCATCTCTTTCTCGCGCCTCTTATTCCCCTTTGTATACCAGGCGGAAGAAGGTATGCCGTAACAATGGTCATGCTATCTGGTTCTTGATTCTCTCATGGACAAAGGCTGTGTCTTTGAGTATCGTCAGAGAACTAGCTGACGGCCCACTCGGCATTTTAACTCGCCCTCGCGCCGTTGCACCTCAGACATCTCCTCAACATTCAGATGAGCAGGCTTTCAGTGAGACTGTAGGTGCTTTTATACCCCTTTTATCATCAAGAAAGGAAGGAGGTTGCTCCTATGTATCTAGCTTCTTCTAAGGTACTTGGAAGAATTTGATAGCAAACGATGGTCAGTAGGGTATATAAAGATTCCCTCTTTTTTTTGCTGGAGGGATACTGAACTCAGGAGCGCCGGCCGAATGACTAAGTCTCCTTGCAAGTTGTAAGGATCTACTTGCATTGTCAATTGATTCCTACAGCTAGGAATCGCTAGTTGATGGGTGAGATGACGGAACCACCACCTCCCACGGGCATCTTCGATTCAGCTCCTTTCTTCATCTCCCTTCGCTTATTAAGGCATTTGAATACCTAATATGTGATGACTTGCAAGCTTCGCGACGAGGGTTTGCAACCGCATGCCGTCGCCCTTCGCAAGCGAAGACGACACCACTTCCATGATCAACGCGCGGAAACGTGGGAATTCAATACCAGACGACGAAGAAATTCTCTTCCGCTGGTACTGGTGAGGGTGCTTGCATCTAAGACGTGATTAAATATGAGAGAAACTTGCTGGATGGAGAACGATGTGTCTTAAAGGATTCTCTCAATTTAGCTTGCTCAGTTGGCCCAACATTGATCTGTTTCTCGAGGTAACACCTTTGCTCTATCGACCAGTGTTGCTCATGTTGCTCGGTGCCGCTGGTCAGCATCTTTCATACATTGACAACTGAGCTCCTGCAAGGGGTCGGATGAGGAATCGTATAGGAACAGCAGTTGTGGATGGATGGAAGACCCTGATCCGGCGACTTTGTAGGATCGTTCGAGGTACATCTGAGGCTTAGTTTCGGTGCGTAGACTTCATCGCCAGAGCTAATATTCTCATGAGATCACATTGTCTGGCAAGATTGCCGGCACTAGTTCCAAGAGACAACTGCACATGCGGCTGGCTTTCCAAGGGCTTAGGGTTTCATCTTTGGTTTTATGTTCCAACTGGCAGAAGTCTATTCTGCAGTTACTTATTCGTTCCTTGGAGAAGAAGGAAACTATGAGGACGGATGATACCTATGATGTTCGAGCGCAAGTAAAAGGACAGTCGTTTTCGAGGATGTGCTTAGTCCGAGAGGTCTGAATCTGGGTTATTCATTTTGATGACCAGAGAATCGCTGCGTGCGAAGACATTAGGACAAATGATGTTTAAGCCCTCTGGACTGTGATTTATGTTCGTCTTCGGATTTGAGTGAAAGATGCTGAACAACCCCTTGTTGGCCATTCCCGCTACTCCGGTTGTTAGGTATATAAGTTGAATCCCAAGTGCCAGACGATGTGGATGACAGCGACGACAGTTTACGTCTGCTGCGGGAGAGTTCTCATCGGTCTGTTCCGGCCACCCCTCGGCGTCACTGTCCGTTGCTTATTCCTTCTCTGGAGAGTTTGCAGCTTTCTTGAAATTGCTACGCGAGGATGAGGTCGTCTTATCCCTTGAGGCTATGATCGCTGCGAATCATTCTGTCTTGTTTACGACAAGGAGATGGCGAATCATTGTGTCGTTGCTGAACGTCTGATCTGAAATGAAGAGCTTGAAAATATACCGTTGGATCTGCTGGGTATTCTCCAAAGCCAGGTTTCTGGGCTTGTCTTGGTGTGCACCGAGTTCCGCGTATACCCGCGGAATCTACAGAGACCCGGTCAAGATGCTATAAAAACGGACTTTAGTACCTTTTCCTCAAGGGAGCAAGCTGGTTGGAGACTATCTGGTGTTGAGTTGCGATGAAGGGAGGGGTTCTAGTCACCAGGCTGGGAATTTCCAAGGCCGCGTGAGATACTCAGTTCAGAGTCGTGCACCCAGGCCCATGGTATTACTTATCTTTGTCACGTTTATATACTCGGAATAGGAGAGGGGTGTGAGACGGCGACGAATACTGATGATACCTCTCGTCTTACTTACCCGCAACTGGACGAGATGTACTGTGTCGTCTGTCACGTCAAGTGCAAGACACAACATGTCGAAGAAAGAGAGCTCGCTTTCTAAATCGCACACCCTCCTCTCATCACCTCAAGAAGGGACAATCTGTAGATGATTTATATATCGCATCGAGGAAACCTTTGAGCACGCAGAAGAGGCCGCGTTAAACTTGATGATGCAGCCGACTAACGTCTAGAACGATGATGCGTTAATCGCCGGGCTTGAGCTCTCAGGCTCAGCTAAGATAGTTTTGGCATTTTGACCGATGTTCCAGTACCTAGAACCCACAGGGCCGTTCCATGTTGGCGACGTAAGTCTGCCGAAGCCGTGGACTTTGAAACCCGACGAGGTTAATGCTCGTAGACTCCTAAACTCTCATCCTCAGTACTATATATTCCATACCAGGCCAAAGTTCAATCTCACTGCAAGGAAAAGATGTCGGCGGTAGTGGCGCCGGCAACAGTCAGACAATTCTGGAGACCAAGACCAGGGGTGCTGCCAGCAGAACATATTTGCAATCACTTGAAAGATGCCGGCGTAAGCAATGAGTCTACCACAGCATCATCGACGCTGTCCTTGGCTTCTCGTTTCTTATCCATTCAAACATACGTACAAAACGACGGCCGTGGTGTGGCAGTGTGAAGCAGCCGCAGTAAATACGACAGCGGAGTCACACAGGTCGTGGCATGGGCAGAGCTAAGCGGTACCAACGGACTCTATCCGATACAACTCAGCAGACAGAGGTGGATAAAGCCAGCTCACGGCGTTGGCTCTCACGCATATGTATGCCTCTTCATTTCGTATTGTAAAGTTCAACCAACAATTCAGAGAAACTTCGTTCGTTTCGAGCAATACCAACTCATGAGAGCAATACCGAAATCAGAAGACTTGGAAGGAGTTTCTTCGAGTCCTAGGTTTTGTGGATTGAGTCTTGCTGAAGTGGCCAGATAAGAACGTCTATAGCATCGCTGTGGAACTCTAGATGCAGCACATCTCACATCTAAATATACCCTATTCGGTTGTCTCGTTCAGATCTCGACTCCAACTCAACGCACACAAAGCCTCCATGACAACCACCAAGAGAGGTCCCGTATTCGTCGTTCCATCTGGATAATCAACAATCAAGCATTCATGTCATGCTGTCTCAAGATATGCCACTACTGATACCTCTACTTCGTGCAGAGAGCAGCCAACTCAAGCCACAACTCCCTCTTCAGCTTACCAATCCTCCCTCCTCAACTCACACCCACCCAACTACACAACTCAACCGTTTCCCACGTGTTGCTCCGGCTCACTCCGCGCAGCTCCATCGCAAAACACCCAAATCATGCCCGATATAGCCCGCCATACCCTCCACCTCTCCTTAAAAGGCAATCACAACACTCATTCCATGTGGGAGCAGCCACCACGAGCGCTTGATAGCGTCTCCCTCCAACGCCATCCCCAAACGAACCTCGTCTCCCATCCAAAAGAAGATCTCCTAGCGCGCTAGACGCCAAGCGCGCCTACAAACTCGCCGAACCCCCCTTTGTTCCAAGAATACGCCAGCCGCGCATTCCACGTTTCTCACAGGCGCGGCAGAACTCACGGATATCTCCATCGCATTCCTCTCCCGCTCCCGCTCCCTCAGCTGAAGATGCTAGCGAGGTTGCACCGGCTAGCCACGTTGCAGTCAGACTTGGTTTCTTTTGGCTTTTCCTCATCCCAGCCTGAAATGTATTGACGGCTTGCACTTATTCTGGGACAATGAGCTAATGTCCAAGGGATACATCGTGCACTTGGCATGCGCCGTCCAAGCCGTAGCCCAGTTCCATCCAGACACCATCGACAGCTCCATCTCAATACCACGCGCAGATCCAATGTAAACAAAACCACCACCGCCGACCCGGAAATTTGGTCCCAAGACACGGGTCGCCGGCACTCAGTCAGATGAAGAAAAAACAGGTGAGACCGGAGATCTCCCCGGGACGGGAGTCCACCCCCAACCCAACACGATAATGTCTACGAACCATCTACCGTGAACAATATCTCCAAAAAGTTATTGCTTCTTCGTGTAACCACACGACCCGAGCTTAAAAATAAAATGCATGGCGACGATCGGGTTGGGGGTTTTGATTCAGACCGTCATGGGCGGAACAGGGGAACGTCTCTCCCCGGACCAATCCGCTTTCACGATGCCCCGGGAGCTGAAGTCAGACAAGTCTCGAAGTTCTCAGGAACCCGACAACCCGGTGCTGAGGTCTCGGGTGAGCTGAGGTGCCACGACGACGACGACAATCTCGCAGTAAAACGTAGCGAATCCCAAAAATAAGAATATGAGACCCGTGGGGGTTTCTTTCCAGCCCCCCCGAGCTTCACTTCAGCTTGCGTGGTCCATCTCTCTCTCTCCCATGTCGTCGACGTGTCCCG